TAGCCTATTGTGACCTTGGTTAGCCGTGTTGTAATGTTATGGTTCATGTTAACAGGAATCATTAAATAAACAAACTCAAATAGCCCATCTGAACAAGCTTCATTTGCTTTGCCAGCTTCATTTGATGTAAAATTCATGTGCCTGCTGCTTTGAATTTCCTCTCCCCATTCTCATAGCATCTGTACACTAAAATACTACAAGTCGCAGTTCCGCGCGCGATGCGATGCGATTTCGCTCACCGAAAACGCCGTGATTACTGTAATCCCGAGCTAACTGCGCTCTTGATCAGGGATGTTCCAAAATTGCATGTCATCTGGAAAGCCGAGAGTGGCCCATGAAAGTATCATTTCAGAGCCGGCGTATGACGCCCGAACTAGCCCATCTGGCTGTCACCATCTCATAGTGAACATGTTGCCGGCTGGCGGCTCTCAGCTGCTCTGGCCAGCCGCCGCCGACTTGCCTCGCTAAAAATTCATGGACGTGCCGGGATGTTCAGACGCCGTTTCGGCGTAACCGTGCGACACGCTTCCACTGAAGACCGTATACTGCTTAGGGAAGAGGATTGGAGCGAGGGAGAGAGAGGGGTCGAGGGAGATAGAGAGAGAGTGTGAGAGAGAGAGAGAGAGGGAGGGGGGGAGAGAGCGAGAGAGAGAGAGAGAGAGAGAGAGAGAGAGAGAGAGAGAGAGAGAGAGAGAGAGAGAGAGAGAGAGAGAGAGAGAGAGAGAGAGAGAGAGAGAGAGAGAGAGAGCGAGAGAGAGAGAGAGGGGACATAGACAGAGGCGACCTGAGTTCCTCCCAAAGTGGATCTCCCCGCCCCTACACATGTCAAACGGGCCCGTCGAAAACGACGATTGATCCGTGGGCGCCAGCGAAGGGCGCCGCTCATGGCTGCCGCTCTCGACGACCCGGCTGCGGGCCTCGCGGCGTTTTTCATGCACTGCTGGGCTGAGCTGGGTAGAGTGGGTGAACCGCTGCTTCCGGGTTACGGAATCCCGTAGAGCTGTGACTTCTGGGCACTGTCGGGAGCGGCTGGAGCATCGAACGGTTGTCAATCGTTAGGAAGGCTACTTGCTGTTGATTGGTTCTGCATCTGATGCAAGATATGAACTGGTAAATGTAGTGCCGTTTTATTTCAGTTGGTCTTACATCGTTTATGTAGTTTCGTCTGAGGGCAGAGACGGCTTTAAATCATCCGTGCCGGCGTGGAAGCCTGCTCTCCGCTGGGGCCGGCGCGCGGTGGCGCTGTGAAACGCACTGGGACGGGTAATCTCGTCACTGCGCCGCTGCAGATTGCGTTCTCCGTGTTGACCCAATTTCAGCCCGTCTATTGTGTGTGTACAGAAGCACCAAACTCGGTTTGGTGACGACCCGCACCGCTTCCGAATGTAGGCGGTCAGGCAGCGGAGCGAAAACTAGCGACATTGATTTAAGCGCGGTGTGCTTGCGCGACTGTTATCGGAGCATTTCGTGGTTATGTTTATTTATGTTCAAGTTTAGCACAGACTGAGCACAAAGGTTGCATCGCATCATTTACATAGGTCATGCAGATGCGTTCGGATCCCGAATGTCAGGTGGGCAATATAATTTAGTCTGAAAACATTTATTTCGTTTTGCTGGCGCGACTGCGTCTGGTAGGCCAATATTTTCTCCATTGTCTATACTGTTGACCCCGGGATCGTTAAAAGTCTGGTTGCCAGGGTTGCGTCAGTTGCCAGGCCAGACTGGGCGTTTGTTGTATAAACGTTAGCTCCTGTCAGGAGACTTTTCGCGATGAAACCGCTGGTGTTTGGAGCCGAACCTGTCAGTTTTCAACCGTAAAATATCGTCTCACGTACTGAAATCTGACGTTAAATATATCCAGCTCGTGTCTTCTCGAGAGCAACTGATGTGATCGAATTACTCTGACCTTATGTCGATGCGGCTATCGCAATGACTGAAATGTTCCTTGCATTTGGATTTGGTCACTTGTTGTGCTATGTATTTGCATTACCCTGTCGACAGCCGTATCATATATTCTAGAGCGGCGTGGTGCCATTGACTTGCGCTCGCATAAGTTATTGCATTTGCTTAAGGCTTGCACTAGTTCTGGCATTTCTTACATCATTCTTTTCTTATACCTTGAACCAACTTTTCGTTAGCTGACATTATTTTTTTTAACGCTGCTTTAGTTCTCAGTCACACCGACTTTTCCACACACTAGTTCACAGTTGACCGTATATCCCATGCGACTCCTCAGTGTTGTCAGTTCCTCTGGCCTAAATCTTCACCTCGAGCACCGCTCGTGCACGTGCCAGCTTGGTCACGGGTGCCGCCTACTCCAGACGGCCGTGCCGAGCCGACCGCACGTGTGGCGCCCAGCTGCTGAAGGCGGTACGCATCCCTGAGGCGTCCTCACTCGTCACACGGGCCGTTACGGTTCGCTTGGAGACAGACCTCCAGACAGAGCGAGGGTTTGTTCCCTTGTGTCTCTGTTCCGCGCGCGCGTGCAGTCAGAGCCCTTCAACTGACCGAGTCAAAGACTAAGAAACTCGGTAATGGAATTTAGACGACATATCTCTATACAGAACTCTGCACTCTGCAGTTTTTCCCGAGTATTTTCCCTATCCATTTTTCATGTTCCCTAAATTTGCCTCCCTTCTATTACACTTCCAAGTCGATTATTACCTCACTCCCCTCCTCCGTAACGCAGTCTCGCGCCGTGAGCAAAAACCGCCCTCGGCGTCGGCAGCAGCCGACATCTGTTACCTTTATGACCGCACTACGGCCATTCATCTCAGCGCCGTGGCTAGCGCCGAGTTGTCGGGCATTATTCCTGCTGAGAATGAATGGTAAGGCGCCCAGCGCTTCATCTTCCAGACACCATGAAATCAAGCACGCCTGCTCATAGCGCTGGAAACACTCAGCCGTTGGCAGCATACAGTAGCGCGGCATTGGCTGGTCGGCGCGGCTAGACATGCGGCAATCGAGAACGATTCCCAGGGGCTCTGTGTGCTGTGTTTGTTAATATCAGCGTGCATTTGTATGGTTGGCGTGTCTCATTTATTTCGTGCTGTCTATTAGTATGTCTGCCAGAGTGATCGATAGTAAGACGATGGGTATCGGGCGAGGGGATCACAAAGGGAGGCGAGAGAAGATTTAGACGATGTTTTTGATGCGTGTGCAGCAATAATTTCGTGGCGTACATACCTGCGCAGTGCCCACTGTTTTTCGGATATCCTTGCACACGACGGCTGATGTTTTTTTATGAATTTGGGGAAGGCATTGTGGGCGAAAATGAGTATGTGCTCAGTGCGTACGGCCACCACTTACCTACCGGTCGTTTTGATTAATATCTCTCTGCCGGCGGGTGGCCCCCGGCTGATGTCCTGCTGTCAGTCTGGTCTCATTTGTCAGCGACTATGGGCTGAAATGGCGCGACTGTGTCGCTCGTTGTCGCTCGTGTTTCGCCGGTAGCCCCGCTCAGCACCCCTAATTACGGCTAATTGGCCCATTCGGGCTGGGAGAAGAGCAGACTCTGTCCGGATATTACCTGAATAATTCACACAAATACCAGCGATAGAGGCCGCCGGCCCGGGGCTATATCATTTGACGGTGTCGGACCGTCTGCACTGAAGATGTGCTTCAGACTCCATAAAGGAGCCTTGTTTATCTAAGAATGAATGGGAAATTAGTTACATGAAGAAATTTGAGCTAGTGATACGGATATATCCTGTTATATCTTCCACTGGAAGCACAATCGCCACGCTTCACGTATAGAAGCTGAAGGTATTGGCCACATTTCCACCATTACTCTCCCAAAATGCCTTCTTACGTCTTCTTACTTTTCAAAACAAACACTCATTTGTCATTTTTAAACAATCTCAGCGCGATTTTATGGCTCTCCTCAATGTTTATGCGTGCGGTTTCGGCACGTGACGCCGTCGTGTGCGGTCCTGACAGCTCGTTTGTGCATCATTCTGCCCTGACCCCATTCGCTGAGCGCCGAACCCGCGTGTGCGGTCACCGAGCGACCCTGCGGTCACCCCTGGGGTGCCCCCTGTGAGGTCACGTGGCGGAACCGCTCCGCTATTTGCGTCATCGTGCTGTGTGTCGTCGGGCGCTGTTTGACACACGTCCGCGGCACTGCTAGCGAGTGGCAGGTGCGCCGGTGACAGCGTCCCAAACACCCCGCGGGGCAGGGACGGGGGCCGTCGGCCCAAGGGCGCCACAGCTCAGGGCCGATAGAAAGGAGCTGTGAAGGAAGGAATAGGGTTAGCATTGGATGGTAAATAAGCAGACGTTATTCAGACATTGTTTTGATTTTCAGCAATAATTGACCTTGAATTCAGTATCCAGCATACAAACTGATAAGGTTTTCTTTACAATTTTCTTGAAAACCCAATTCGAGTTAATTACATGTATGTACATTGTACAATGTACATGTTGTGTCACAACAGCATGTGCGTCTCGTTCTTCGAGGAGTTACATAAAATGCGGTATTGTATTTGGACCTTAGGTGTTTGCTCATTATTGGAATGTTTGTAGAGAAGCTATAGCCCTGCACTTACAGGTGTACTGAGCAAACGCAAATGCGAGTTGTCCGACACACGATTTTTTCCACGAACTCCATATGTATTATGCACTAGGGCACTATCTGTGCACTATCTAGGGCATGTCTTCAGCGTTTGTTGCATAATCTTCTCTTTTGATGAATGCATTGGAGCAGCAGGGCTAGATTTTTCACTGCGACATCGTTCTTGTTTTGCAGCCCTCACCAGGTGAGCATTTGCTCCCATTTTAAATCACTTTGGTCGGGGAGTTGTGCGCGTGGCGGCGGGCTATGAAGCTTTAGCACGACACAGTGCCCTGGGTAGCGATTACCAGGCTATCAGGGCTGCCGCCACGGGCGCCCCGCTACCGCCGTAACAAAATCGGGGGGTGTGACCTGCCGCAGTTAACGCCCCCTCGCCCCCTCCCCCTCCCCTCCCCGGCAACGGCCCCCACCAGAGCAGTGCAGAGGCCGGTGGGCGACGGACGTACTAGGGCGGGCGAGCTGCCGTGTTCCTTCCTGGTTCTGTGTGACGGGGACACCGCCGTGACGCCTCAATGGCTCGGTGACAGTCGTGGCGCGCCTGTGACGGAGGTGACGCACCGGTGACGAACACGCCGCGCCTGACAGATGGTCTGACAGGACGGGGAGTGATCCCCAGGGCCCGCTTGGACAGGTTGGTGGAGTGGTGACCTTTTGGCCCCGAGCCGCTCCGTCAGTGTTCCGTCGTCAGTGGTGCTCACTCAGAGCACAGTGGTGACTGGTGACGCTGGTGAAGGCACGAGCCGCGCTGGTGAAGGCACACGTGCCGGTGAAGTGGTAGTGCTAGATGGTGGGTTTTAGTGGTGTTGCGAGGTATGTGACGATCGATATGATTGGTGATGGTTGCCAGTGAGCTGAGCTGCCAGTGTGGGTAATAGACGTCTCTTGATTCCGGAGATTCACAACTGCTTACAACTCAACGTTATAAACATAAAACACTGGTGAGTTGGGGTGATTACCCGCTTGAAGATCTTTTTCATTTTAATCTCTTCATTTTCTTCATAGTTTAAATGTGTAGCGTCATTTTCCAACGGTCGGTTTTCTAAAGGATTGTTGATTTTTACTTAGGAGAAAAAGGGACCGGCAAGTTTGATATAGCCATAAGACCAATTAGAAAATTATTCATTCATTGTAACCCCAGAGTCAACATGCGCTTTTTCACGTTATCTGCTACTCTTTGTCACACTTTTCACGAAGGGTGACGATATGTGAATTAGGCGAACAATGCATCATCTATGAATGTCTCTGCCACGAAACCCTTTTAACCATCATTGATGACGTAACCCATAGACCTCTACATACCTCTATGCCTATATGTCTATGCGTAACCAATTTTGACAACCAACAACGGCGAAGCTGTTGTGCCCTGGGTCCTGCAGGGCGAGAGGCCCACGCAGCCCCACAGCCCCACGCTGAGAAGAACACGCCATGTTGGAGGCGGAGCGGAACACGTGTGACGTAACACGTGGGAGGGAACACGTGTTGTGGCGAACACGTGGAGGCCACAAACGAGACAAGACGGAACACGCCTCGGAATACGGAACGCTCTAACGAGACGGGTCGGTCAATTCCCGCACTGGCACGGCTCGAATGCAAATGGAATGGCAGGGCGGCGCGTCAGGCACAGTCTGGCGCATTTCTGAACTGCATCGTGGCTATCCCGAGGCTGTTGTTCTGTCAGCAAAGTCATTTCAAGTTGACGAAGTGGGAGAGGGCTTGACGGTCATGTTCTATTTTCGCCTTCAGTAACTATGGATGTGACGTGAACATATGTGTTCAGCAGACTCTGATGTCTGGTTCAACGAAATCCCTCATTTATCCTCGATAACTTTCAATTCACTTCCTTTTATGCTATTCGATTCACTTCTACATTTTCCTTCATTCACTTGGAACGACTGAACGGAACGGGGAATTTTCCTCCAATAAGTCGACCGTTTCCCAAAACGGGACGATTTCTTATTGAATCATACGACGGTGGCAGCAGAGACGTCCTCAAAAACCTCCCGTGTTTTCATAGCTGACTTCGAATAGAGTTTAAGCCGTCTTTCAGTTTGTCTTCCGAAACTTGGCGGAGAGCATCGCGTCTCGAAGACCACGCTATCCCGCCGAGAGGCCGAGTTCTGTCCAAGAGGCGTCATTTTGTTTCTGGCCGCGTCCAATGTGTCGCAGCAGCTTGAGCTGACTGTGACTGATGAGTGTCGGACGGGTGATATTGAATCCGGCCCGACCCGGCTCGCTATAAACGCTCCGACACGGTCGACAAACGCCGACCGGCGAGACTCACCCCCAAAATAAACAGAGCCCGGCTATCCACACTGGCGCCATTGTATGGCTGGCTACAGCCACGGACGGGGCGAGGATAAACACCGCTCAGTGTAGGCTCACTTCACCGCTACGATCTGGGGCGTGTCGTGGAGAACGATCAGCACACGCCGCCGCCTCCCGAGTCACCCCGGCAAGGCTAATGCATCCGAGCGCGCCAGCATCTGGTCTGGCCCGTCCTGTGGCAAAAAGTGGGCACTTGTCCGCGGCTGGCGGCAGCTGGCCGACGGTAGGGGAGACGGGCAGCGACCCGAACAGACACGTGGAAGGCCGTTCTGCCCCGGCACGGCGTAGGTAGTGCGCCATGCCGCGCCGAGCCGTTCACACGAGTGAGGTTGCACTGCACCGCTAGCACCCAAGGCATCTAGACACTCTTCTAGTTTTTAGAGGACCCGGCGCTTCAGTGGCAGAGTTCGATGTCTCTGAAAGTCAGCCGCTAAGTGATGCACCGTCTGTTTAGCGCTTACCCATGCAGATGCGAGCCTCGCCGAAGCGTTTTTCTTGTCGCCATTTTCTCCTCATCACCGAGAAGTGGTCCGTAAGTGGAGAGTCGTTTGCGGCAATGTTCTGAAGTGGCAGCCCGTCAATTCTGCGTGCATACTTGTGTTCGGGATGAAACGGGAATGTGCGCACACAGTGCGAGTGAAAGTTGAAAGGTAGATATCAAATGAAAATGCATGCTTTTTATGACCGGAAGCCTTGACGACGGGGTGACTTTTCACCACTATAGTTCTTGTCTGCTATTCGTTATCTGACGCCATCGGATTCGGCTGCTGAACGATAATGTTGAGTGATTACATGTCACACAGAACCATCTGCTAACGACAGCGAATAACTCAGGACATGTCAGCTGACACTTGACAGATCTGTCAACAAGTGCCTTATGACAGCCATGTCTGATGAATAGTGTGTCCATTCTTACTGTGACACACTAGCTTTCAGCTCTCCACGTCATCTTGGAAATGACCAACTTAGCCAGAACTCAGAAATACCTCTCCTCTCTTCTCAAATACCACATTCAGCACAGCCTTCATTTCGCCATTTCCAGATCTGCAACTCACCCTTTCTCATCACCAGTGGTCACACCGAATCAGCCCATAGCTATACCTAAACCAGCCTTCCACCTATTTCCTCGGACATCAACCCGTTCAGTGCCCCGTCCGCCGTCATTTCGTGCGCCACCGCTCCCAACTGCGGGCTGCCGCCGCGGCGCCCGCTCCGCCGTCAGATTGGCCGTTAGCGACTGATAGCCAAATGATGGTCATTTGTTGCGCGTCGCTCTGTCGGTGCCATCGCCGTCCGTTGCCCGTCGGTTCCGGCGGCTCCGGCTCACACACTGAAAACAATTTAACCCAAGGCCCGCGAGTAAACCGGTGTTTTGCGGGTACCCCTATCCGCAACCATTTTTAACCACCCTCCCAGGAGTACAGTAAGGTCCCATTGCAGTGTAGTCGTCCCTGCTCTCAGCGGACTTGTTCGCTGACAGCGGTTATATCCGCTCAGAGCAAGTACGACTACACCGCAATGGGACCTAGCACTACTCCTGGGAGGGTGGTTAAAAATGGTTGCGGATAGGGGTACCCGTAAAACACCGGTTTACTCGCCAGCCTTGGGTTAAATTGTTTTCAGTGCACTGAGGCTATTCTTTGGTGACACTGACTGCGCCGACGCGGCCAAATTTTCCGCTGCTAAGTTTCACGATTCCTCTATTTCATTTTTTTTTGCAATAATTATGACGAGCAGCTGATGCCTGAATGTTATATAATGTTGGCAGTATGTCTGCTAATCTGAATTATGGTAGAATGGTAAGACCGACTCAAAGGTAGAATGGTAGAACCTGATTACCTGCCTGAAGCAGGTCTATCAATGCCTTCGATTCCCGACTGGGTGAGCCGGATGTCGTCACGGAGCGCGCCGGACGTCGTCACGGAGCGCGCCAGACGCCATCCGTCACGGTCGACACGGCCGGCGGCCACGTCATGATGACGTCATCAGACTAGTTCGACGGCGCGGACCAGAATGGACCAGTTGATTTCAGGGCTCATTTGAGTTCGGCCGCCGTCCCTGGCCCCCGAGCGATAAGATGAACTCGGTTCACTGGCCGGCGGACAGGGGCTGGGTCTCGACCGCCCCCGCTCCCTGACCCTTACACAGTGTCGTATTTCCTCTCTGACTCGAGGAATTTTCCCTTTGCGGGAGAGCTGATTGCCTGGGTAGAAGTGCGGTGAATCAACTGAGGAAGGTATGCAAGGGACCTTGAAATGGGAGCCTCATGAGAGGAGAGAGACGGTGCTCTCACAAATTGCTCTGAGTGCGGCAAGAAAGTAAGCGCAGCTCAAAAGTGTGACTCATTATTGTAAATCCGCCTATTCAGTTATAAGAAAACTTGTCTACCTTCGCTGCTTTGGGAAAAGGCGTTGGATTACCAGCTTCGGAATAATTAATACTGTAGAACGCCTTTATATGCAGTAAGCACCGCCATCAATAAAACTTGTCATGCATCTGGGTCGCCGTCATTTTTCCATGAACATTTTGTCCTGGCTGTTTCAGAGTCAATGAATTAATAGGGATGAGGCAAATTTGCTTTCGAAGTTTTAAAGTTAGGCATTGGGCTAAAAGTAAATAAAGTGATTTAAACATCCCAAAGTTATGCCGACCAGCACCACATTTTTATCTCCTTCCCATCTACCTCCCTTCCTCCATCCCTCCCCATCTCTCTTTCTCTCTGACACTCTCTCTCTCTCTCTCTGCCATCACGCCCTCTTTCGCTGCGCTATACGAGGGCCGTCACCATTGATCCTGATCAGGCATTGGTCCTCCCCCCAGATTTTCGCCAAGAGCGATGAGAAATCCATACGGACAGTATGTTTTTCTGCGGAACGGTGTTCGGTCACTGTCTCCTCGACCACACGCGGCAGGATAGACCATTTTCGGCAACCTCGACACTCTCCCCTCTTCTAACCACTCGCGGACTCGCGCACAAAGCACTCATGGTGGGGTTTCTGACCTTCTGATCCCCCCCCCCGCCCCTTCGCCATCCGAGCCGCTCGGTGACTCGGCAACAACACAGCTCTCTTGGAACACGCCCATCTCTGGTTTCACAAAATTCCTGCAGTCTCCACGTTGAGCTGTCTTCTGCTGCTTTTGTGGTATTTTCTGGGCGGCACTTCTTATACGGAAAAGCTGCGCCCGATCGACTCACGACAAGCTGCGTCGAACGGTCGTAAATAAGTCTTTTTTATCTCCGCCGGGAGGAGAAATATTTACCCGGCTTAGTGGCCGGCTTATTTGCCGTGACAGCGCCGTAAAAACCGCACCGCACCGCGCCACTGCCGCGGACGGCGGTGCCGGAAGAGCGCTAGTCTCCGTAGTATAACGCCGCCGGCGCGGTGTCCGCTTGGTCGTGGTCTGCGTCTGGCTGGTTTTTGACATCCGTCTGGTCTACCCTCGGCATGGCGGCGCGTGACCCGACACGGTTGTTCCCGCCAGCCCCGTCGCTGCCCGTCACAGCTCTCAGACTCTCTTTGTCGGCGGCTGGCCCTGATGGACGTGTGCTGGCGAGGAGTGACCAGCTCTGAAGAGCGGCGTCTGCCTGTAATGAGCCAGAGGGGCGCCGCTCCGCCGCAGAGGGGTGGCCGCCGCAGGGCTCTGGTAAATGTTTGTGTGTATGTGAGGCGACGCGTCACTTTTTACAGGCTGTGACGATGCGTGCGCCGTGCTCAGTGGAAGGGGTCGTCATTACGCTCAGAATAATATTTAGGTGTCTGTGGGTGTGTAACTAAAGCGGTGCATGGGGCAGAATAGAGACATAAATAAAATGTGATATGTTATGGTCGGCTTTACTGGCCGTCTGCCAGGGATGAGTCCTCTGTTATCCTCGGCAGCAGCCCGGAGATGTTGCCACGAGCTGCGGCGCTGGCAACAGAGGCGCAGTTCGCCCGGCCGCCGTATTCGGCCGCCGTCATGAATACCGTGCGGATGACGCAGCCGGCCTTGTGGGAGGATTCGAGCCGAGACTAAAACAACTGTGACAGGATGAAATAAGTCATTCTCGTCGCGCTGAAAGGGGCTGTGTTCTCCATAATGTCTCTGGGTTCACACCACTGAGTGCAGTGTGGGAGCCTACGGCGATGACCTATGGCGTTGTCTCTATCACAGTACCAATCCTTCGTCCCTGTTCCTATCTCTTTACCCTAGTATTCGTCTACGATCCTATCCATGTCCTTTTTTCCCATTGATCGTCTTCCTTCCCCTGACCCCTCCTTCGTCCCCTTGGCCTGCTCATTATCCTCCGTCTCTGCCCTTTCCTCGTCCCCCGTTCCCTTCCCCGTCCTCCCCCGCTCCAACATCACCTTATCCCCATCCCTGTCCAATGTCCATACACCTTCCCCGCCCGCTCCGGTCTCCTCCCCTGCGTCCGGAGACCCTGTGTTTACACCACGACTCGTCCGACGACCGTGCGTGGCTCCTCGCCGTCCTGTAATTAGCCGCGTCGGAACAAAGGTGCGAAGATGAATGAAGCGATCACCGGATGGCTTAGTCGTGACAGCTAATTCCGGCGCGGGCACAACAGAAGCGGTATGCATTTTTGGGCGGCAGTCTCGGTTATTAAGCCGTCGATCGAGGTGTTAGGAACTATCGACGAGTCGGGCTTCGGGGTTGTTTAGGGGTTCCTCCTTGGATTTCGATATGATTAGCTGTCGTGTGGTGGAGACAGACACGAAAACAACGCCTTTGTAGGACCACTGAGTCGAGACCCCTGTCAATGCGAACAGCGTGACGAGAAATTGGGTCAGAAAACAAGCCAACAAGTTATCGATCATTTGGGCGTAGTCACAGGGTCGTCGTATGATTTGTTTGAGACTATGGCACGATAGTGAAACATAGAACGTGATGCCACGTAGCATGCATTGATGATGTGTGGATGTTGCTCATTTTCTTCATTCCTAGAAATGCGCTATCATATGACGGCCTTAAAGTTTAGGATATACGTGGTGGATAAATTGAATATCGGTTATTACTTTTTTGCATACCAACGAGCTCCATTGAAGTCTGAACTATAGAAATAACGCAATAGAAATATTATGCAAGTCGACTCGATACTTAATTCAATATACCCGGAGTCGATACTGCTGGAACCACACTGGGTTGCACTGTACAAAAGTTACTGGTTTGAAAACTATTGTAGGTGTCTCATTTCAAAGAAAAGAATTAATTGAACTAATATGAGCTGATTATAAATATAACCTAAAGTGCGTTTCGCTTGTGCAGTTTGCATTGTAGCGTAAAGATGCATGAATGTTGTTCAAAGATATTAAACAGCGCGACTTACTTTATATTTGGGACACTGAAGTGCCCTTGACATATCCTATTAACTTTTATTACGATGTCTAGCTGAGGCGCGCTCGACCCAAACCTGTTTTAATTACGCTGCAGTTAAGTATTTTGAAGGGAACGAGTGTTCATTAGAAGACGTTTCTTTCATCCTGCCTTATGAAACGCATCCGAGCTGCTTTTCAGTATCTCGGGTCTTTTAAGTTGTTTGAATGCTCGCTGGTTGTCTTTCTTGATGTCTTTTGCTTTTTACGGCAAACAATTTTTCCTGAGAATCTTCGATATTGCAATGTTCAAAGCTATATATGTCTTTTAATGGCATTTGTTGTTATCGAAATACATATGGCAATATGTAAATCAATTTCTTTTTTTTCTTGCAATGCTTAACAATATATGTCTAGATTTATTCAAACAGAAAACATGAATCATATGTGTGTATTTACACCTTCAGCGCTTCGGCACACCCCCATGATTGTCCGAAAATCGTAATTTTAAGCATTAAAAACCACGTGCACCTTTTCTCGTTCTGTGTTTTGCATTTTGTGCTTATATTAAAGGGTATGAGGCGTCCCTACAAACAATCTTAGTTATATATGCTGCATTTCTGATATGCCGGCATGCTGTTGTGTGTTTCAGATGGAGGGCCGGTGGCTGGCGATCGTCAGCTGGCTGTCACTGATTGTGGCGATGACATCAGCAGTACAAACGTTCTCCACAGAGCCGGAGGACCAGAGTGTTGAAACGGGACAGACCGTGGTGCTGCCATGCAAGGTATGTGTGCAACTGAACAGTACTGCTGCGCGAAACATGTGTCGCACCGTTATGCATTTAATGCATTGCGGGAAACGAATAATGACCTTTTAATATGGTTTCAAAATGTTCCACAAGGAGCAAAATCAATCGATTCTGATCAGTCTATATCTGAAAGTGTTTGATTCGCTCCCGATTCGATATTGATTTCGATTTCGATTCGTTCGCGCGCTGTCCGCGGGCCGACCCCTGGCGGCCGAACGACATGCTGTGCCGCCGTACACGGGGGCGCTGCGGCACAGCCTACCTCCACAGGATAAATCTGACGTCGGCCCTCCGCGCGGGTTCTGCTCGGCTCCCTCAGGTCGACGGAGCTGCGGGAGCGGTCCAGTGGACTCGGGACGAGTTCGGGCTCGGGGTCGACCGAGATCTACCCTCTTGGCCGCGCTACAAGATGATCGGCACCGACCGAGACGGTGTCTACTCGCTGGAAGTGCAGAGGGTGGCGCTCGAGGATGACGCGGTGTTTCAGTGCCAAGTGGGCGCCGCCGCCGGATCGCCCGGTATCAGGTAAGGGACGGTGTTTTTCTGGAAAACAATAGCGATGATATAATTTCATTCAAAAAAGTATTGCAGCAGCAGAGGGAAACAGAAAATGATTGCATCTGTTCTCACATTCGCATGGGGCACTCTTGCAAACTTGCTTTTACATATGCATCCATTACCTGTATCCAGTCTCTGTGTTAAAACTTGGATAACTCATTCAACACAATGATGATGTTCAATCATGCGAACATTGCGTGCATAAAACTTATTGGAAATACATGACTTCCAGTCGACTGGAGCTCTGAGAGTCCCTTGAACCCGGAGGCGGCACCGGTGTCATGTTATCTCAGCACACACGCTGCCGCCGACGGCTCACCAGTCAGTCACGCGCCCGAGTATCGTTCATGGCCAGCAAAATTCCTGCAACGACAGACGGGCAAATCATTGTGGCTGCAATCGTGCCGGTACCATGATCCCAGTTACGACGCACCCTCTCAGCCGGATGTCATCCATCGTTCTGCTGCTCCTGAAAGCGTGCCTTTGGTAGCGACAGCCTTCCAGTCGGCGCGGCAGTGAATTGATTCTGCAGAGTGAAGGGCTGAGAAGTTTCGGCCGGGAGAATGGCCCAAGTTGGGGGGGGGGGGGGGTAAAGGGTTGTAAGGCTCACACCCAGAGAGTGCGGCCACATTGTGGCGCCAGTGAAAGGAACTTGTTGAGAGCGGAGCTAAATGTCTCACGAATGGCTTCCTATTGAGGTGTCGCATTGTTATGGTGGAAGGTGGTGGTGACTGGTGGTTTACAAGGTCAACCTTGAAAATTCGAATGTTGATGCCGGTCGATATTATGAGAGTAATCAGACGTTTGCCGTATTCGACAATGATAATTTGGTCGTGATTGTCAATACTTATTAGATCATTATGGCTTATTTGCATAAGCTTGAGGTATTTATTGGCAATATTCTTGTCTCCACATTGCTTTTATGACATAAAAAATAGGATGTTACTTCCAGCTTTCTTTGGCGAAATCGGTATAATTAAATATCGATAAACTTTTTCACTGGAAGAAGGCATGAGACCTTTCTTCTGACATTGAAGGACAGGTGAATTTGTATATGAGATGAGCTGTCATTTATAAGTAGTATTATAATTGCTGTTAAAATTGTCGTCACTCAGTAAATTGATACAGGCTACTGTAACATTTTGTTCAGTGTTCTATGCAGTATTCACCATTGCTCTCCTCCTATTCCTCGATCCACTCTGTCCTGTTTTCCCCACGCCACCACACTGCGTAGTTACCCGGCGAGACGGGCGTCGTGTCGGACCGGGACGACTGTCTGTTTCCTCTGGCACTTCTCTCCGCGCGCCCGGCGGCCCGCTCCCAGGAGGATACCTGACCCGGCCGGTACGCCCAGGTCGCTCGGCCTGCGCCGCCCAGCCACACACAAGGTTTGTTTCCCATTACTCGGCGATCGTAAAATCCCCAGTTCAAATAGTGGGCTCACAGTCGCTGATGGGATGCGGCGCTGCTGGCTGTAAGCTAGAACGGCCAGTGCAGATCGGGAAATTGGCTCAGTTACGAGTCTTACCCAGCAAGAGTGGAGCAAACGTGATTGAAAAGGAAGTGTGCTGGCCAACAGGCTGATGACATTTTAGAAGGCAGCCAACTGCCCAGTCGTGGTCTCATGTAACGAAAAAACGCTAATAACGAAAAACGATGCTTGAAAATATCCTCGATATTCTGAAGGGAACTTGTATTGCAACTTTGTTTTTTTCGCGTTGCCACCAAAATCTTTCAGCGCTCGTATCACGAGATCTCTTCACCAAATCCCTGGCACCCATCTGCCTCGAACCGGCCCCGTTTCGGCACACAGAGCTGCAGAAATGACGCCATCATTTAGGGCGTTCCGCGCGACTCGCCAGGAGCGCTGTGCCATGGCCGCGCGGCCGCCGCGATATTCGAGCGAGTCTCCTCAGTAGGGGGCCTCATTTCTCGCGGTCGGCCATGGCCAGCTAGCCGTGTTATTGGCGCCGCTCCGGGCCCAGAGAGTGGCCGAGCTCGGTCGGCCGTTACGCGGACCAGCGGACGGCACAAGTTGCTCAATTTCGGCCCGCATATGTAAATTCGTGTCCGTGGCGGCCAACTTGACTGTGTGACCGTGAGACCAGCGACGCCGGTGCGGCCGACAGAGATGCCAAACAGACTAACATTTGTATGTGGCCAAGTGGGTACACTCGGACACCCGTGTTAATCGTTTATCCGTATCTGTCTTTCATCGAAAGAATCGTCACAATTATTGCTGAGGTTGTTTTCGCATTTGTAATTCACAACCGTGTACCGATAGACTCAGTATGGTATTCACTCAATCTGATTCCAACTAAGCTGATTGATGTGTGCTTTCTGTTCCATTCCCTCTCATTATGTGTCGAAGCTCCGAGAGACTGTTGAAGACCGCCAAGCGCCGCCTGCGCCCGCGGGCAATCTTGTTACGCTGATTGCGTCGATCCACAACCGCCGGCGGATGCCGTTTGACCCGCGACGCGTCGATAATTTATGTATGTGTCGACAGCGGCGCTCGCCGGTCTGCCGACGAGCCTGATGATCCGTCGCTAGAGTCCTGAGAGGCCGGTTCATCAGCCGGGCGGCTCTGTCTGTCGGTTTCCCAACGTAGCCCGGCTCCACCGGAGAGTCTAAGCCTCATTCCCCTGTTGACTGTCTCACTCTAGTCTCATGCTTTCAACTGCCAGGCTTGTCAGTCCTGGTAGTTCTTTCTTTTATCTCTGCACCCAGTGCAGCTGGCTCATAGATATGAAAACATCTTTGCTTTTGTTTTTTGTTAATGACCGTTGCAGGGCTGCGGAGTCGATGGATTTTCGGCGACTCCGACTCCGACTCCGACTCCGGCTTTCAAAAACCAGCTCCGACGCCGACTCCGACTCCGGGCAGAATTGTCGACTCCGACCGACTCCAACTCCCGACTCCGACTCCGCAGACCTAGCAGGGCTGCGGAGTCGACAGAGTTTCGGTGACTCCGACTCCGACTCCGGCTCGGGTTTCTAAAATCGACTCCGACTCCGACTCCGACTCCGGTCACAACTGTCGACTCCGACCGACTCCGACTCCGACTCCGACTCCGACTCCGCAGCCCTGGACCGTTGATTCAGTGAGTTAGCTGTCTCTCAACTCTACCTACTCCACTCTCTACTCTCTTTACCTACCTGACTACCCTCTCGCTCGTCTACCTGCCTCCGCACCAAGCTCGCCGGCCTGACTGACAATGAACTATTTCCCCACCCTTCTGACTGGCCGCATCTCTGTCCCCAGGTCCCGTAACGCCCGTCTCAATGTGCTGGTGCCGCCGAGTGCCCCGCGCATAGTCCAGGGAGAGGACCTCTCGACCACCGCTGGGGTGGTCATCAAGCTGCAGTGTGAGAGCCGAGGAGGAAAACCGCCGCCAAAGGTATGTCAGAAAGTCCAAGTGACAGGCCGGTGAGGGAACAGGATGGAGAGAGGGAGCTAAGCTTTATGTTTCTACAGATGTTCATTCAGTTAAATTGAAAATAGTTTCAGAGGTCCGTTTTGCTACGTCGCCTGTGTAGCCACGCATTGGTCGTTTCGTGAAGTTATTTCAACCTTCACTATCTGCTACCGCCTCTCACTGTACGCGAACCGAGACAGCGAGCAGCGAGCAGTTGCGGCAATGCTCCCAGGAATTGCTCTGTTTGCTAGCAGTAGATCGCCGCCTACCGCCGCCGTTCGCATTATGCGGCCGTCGGCTGCACGACTTGTTGCCGCTAGTGGCGTCGGACCGGCCATCTGTCTGTCTTTGTGTGTCCGTATGTCTGTCTGGCGCGCGCCGGAATGCGAGCGCGTCCGGCGGCGATGTCTTGGCGTGTTTTATCGTGCCGCCCTTCCGGCCGGCGCATCGCCTCCTCCGCTGCCGGTGCTGCCATCTGTTGACGCTTCTGTGAACCACCGGCAGCTGGAGTGGTTCGACAGCGACGGCACACAGCTGGAGAATAACATTACCAGCGAGGATCGCCACATGTCCGACGGCAAACGCTACGTCGTCGAGTCCACGATCCTGCTGGAACCGGAGGCGCGCCACGACGGCGCCAACATCACCTGTAAGGCCAAGAACGAGGCGCTGGACGAGCCGCAGTCGGTGGCGCTCACGCTTCACGTCAAGTACCCGCCAGAGGTGGCCGTGGAGATAGACTCGACGCAGGTCAACGAGTATGATGACGTCACATTCAAGTGCTCGGCCACGGCCAATCCGGATGATGACGTGAGTTGTGTGGGTTGCGGGCTGGCTGTTGGATATTTTGCGCTCGTGTTTTTCAGTGTTGATCCAGCATAGACGTTTTGTCTCACTCCTGAAAATAATGGGAAACGATATTATCTTGAAGAGTGCGTTTACTCCCGTGCTGTTGTCCCATGCACTGAAAACTTTTTTACCATTTCCTGAAGGGTAAATCCGCCATAGCATGGTAGCTTGACACACAGACGTTTTTTACCACCTTCCAGATGGTAAATTTTACTCTTTCATGAAGAGTAAACTCGCCAGGGAGGGGTAACATGACACACAGACGTTTTTTACCATCTTCTGAATGGTAAACTCTTTTGATTTACTCTTGTCTAGAGTGTAACATTTTTTGGGTTACACTCTTTGAAAGGGTAAATCTTAAACGGAACCCTTTTCTAGGGAGTAACGCATCATCTACTCTGTGCTCTACCCTCCTACAGAGAGCATATTCTTCTGGCCTACCCTTTGTCACATGGTAATGTTTACTCTTTTCTTTAGTGTAAACCCCCCAGAGGATGGTAAGAGACTCACAGACGCTTGCTTCAGAAGCTTCACGAAGCTTCTGTTAACCGGAGCTCACCAACTAAAAAAACATGCTTCAAGAGCAACAATGTATATTTGGCTTCCGTACAAACAATACGAGGGGCACACCAGCCATGAACATTGTGAGACTCTTCACTTATGCATACGAATTTATACGAAGCGTTCAGCAATGCACAAGCGGTAAATAAACACCACGATACAACTTGAATGCACTTTGAATGTGAATACAAGACATTCAGCGCCCTCATATTGGATAAGGCACAGCGCACAATATTTGAAGAGAGCGACGGCGTTCCTGGGTGGTAGCCCGTCTGCGTGAGATAATGAGACTGGATCACTACAGTGCAAGGCTTTTTCAAAGTCACCAACAAAATGCATAAACTTGTAGCATCACAACAAAATTAATGTACGTACTCACAACCTAGGCCACGTGGCCGTGCACGGGGTCCTGTTAACCAGGTCAAATTAGCACCACTCAACGGCATGCAATGCTCTAGCACATCGGTACTTACAATAAAATGTCCACAGAGGCTCTATAGGCGATGAACAACACGCAAGCACAATCACCAACGGCCACGCCGCGCGGCACCGACACTGCTCACATCCGCTCTCGGAGACCAACGGCCGAAAACTGACAGATGCGCGCGGCCTTCAAACCGCAAACGGCCGATCTCGTTTCTGATTGGCTGAGTGATTCCATTTCAAATATCATCTTCACGAGGGTAAACAAGATCCACGCATGAAACGACTATCTGTACACGAGTCACGATACCCAGAAGGAAAGAGTTTTCGTGATGTTCTGGATCGCGAGGGTAATATTGATATTTGCATGGTAATAATACTCTTCGCTGGCGAATAAGTTCATATTAACCACGTACCGTTACCATGCACATAATGGTAGCAAAGAGTTACCCTTTCAATATACTCTTATCTTGCTGGTTTGATGAAAATGAACCCTCCAGGAGGTAGTAAAAAAGTTTTGAGTGCACGCCATTCATGCTCGTTCGGTGCTGCCCACGGTTCCTCTCACGTGTTCACGCAGTGGCGCAGCCAGGGGGGGGTCAGAGGGTCAGCTGACCCCCCCGAAATTTCTGTCAGGGGCCCGCTCGAGAGAGAGAGAGGGAGAGGGAGAGAGAGAGAGAGAGAGAGAGAGAGAGAGAGAGAGAGAGAGAGAGAGAGAGAGAGAGAGAGAGAGAGAGAGGGAGGGAGGAGAGAGGCCCTAATCTAATCGGACGAGCCCGCTTCGAGAAATGCCTACTGGGACACCACGGGTGAGGGGTCGGCCTGGGGCCCCAGGTGGACGGGGCCCGGGCCCCCGGGAGAACGGGCCCGGCCCCTGGGAGAACGGGCCCGGGCCTCCTGGGTGGATGGGGCCCGGCCCCCCCCCCCCCCGTTGATGGGTCCGGGCCCCGGGAGATTGGAGAACGGACCCGGGCCTCCCGGAGAACGGGGGCCCGGCCCCCGGGAGAATTGACCCGGGCCCCCGGGAGAATTGACCCGGGCCCCTGGGAGAACGGGCCCGGGCCTCCTGGGTGGATGCCCCCCCCCCGTTGATGGGTCCGGGCCCCCGGGAGAACGGGCCCCGGGCCCCGGGAGATTGGAGAACGGACCCGGGCCTCCTGGGTGGATGGGGCCCGGGCCCCCGGGAGAATGGGCCCGGGGCCCCGGGAGATTGGAGAACGGACCCGGGCCTCCCGGAGAACGGGCCCGGGCCCCCGGGAGAATTGACCCGGGCCCCTGGGTTAACGGGCCCGGGCCTCCTGGGTGGATGGGGCCCGGGCCCCCCGTTGATGGGTCCGGGCCCCCGGGAGAACTGGCCCCGGGCCCCGGGAGATTGGAGAACGGACCCGGGCCTCCCGGAGAACGGGCCCGGGCCCCCGGGAGAATTGACCCGGGCCCCTGGGAGAATGGGCCCGGGCCCCCTGGGTGGATGGGGCCCGGGACCCCCGTGGATAGGTCCGGGCCCCCGGTAGAACGGGCCCCGGGCCCCGGGTGGACGCCGGACCCCCGGGTGAATGGGGCCCGGCCCCCGGGAGAACGGGGCCCGGCCCCCCGATGGATGGGGCCCGGGCCCCCTGGTGGACGGGCCCCGGAGCCCCGGGTGGACGTGGCCCGGGCCCCCGTGTGGATAGGGCCCGGGCCCCTGGTTGAATGGGGCCCGCTAGGGTGACCCGCTTGCTCCGCAAAGCGAATAAGGGGTATTTTCGATCGGTGGGCGTTTGGTTGGTCTTGTGTCCGTGGGTGATGTATCCATTTCGGTTGATTGCTTTTTGACGGCTAAGCATTTTGGATTGGGAAAAAATATCAATTGCATCGAGGTGCTCGTGTCTGATAAGCATGCGTTCTACTATAGAACATGTCATGTGTAGTTTATAACAACGGTTGACGTAGGTTATTTAAAAAATGACAGCCATCGATGAATTACTATGTAGAGGTTGCCAACATTTATATTTTTAAGAATTACTGTTGCTCGTCATGCAAAAGCGATGATTGGATTTTGGACAAAATTGAATGCTCTTTCCAACTATGCCATTTTCAACTGTCAAACGTACCAGGTTATGCAGTAAAACCCGTGTAATTAAGTAAGTCATTAACAAATACCATTCTCTCCAGCGATTTGTTCCACCTTGTTTTTGATCAATTAGCTTTTCACAATTTTTCCATGAGAGGCGGTACATTTCTTTTGCCAACAGGCGTTGTTAGAACCCGCTCCGTCAAACAGTCACCCGAAAATAGCATTAAGTCCCAAATCTGTCCGAAACGTATATTTCCCAGCATAAGTGCCCTCACGGGTGCACGTGGCGCGTGCCATCCCTGCACCGCACACCATTCGATAGCCCTTTCGATTCTCTACACGATACCCCGTGGCGATTGGGCCCACGGTTACCGAGATACTGCACGGGGACCGGACCAGTGTCTGGCAAATTTAGTCATTTTCGCCCGATTTTGCAAGCCGATATATACATACATGTAAAGTCCATAACGCGAATTTGCACTTTTTGAGCACGCGTCATGTGCTCGCTATCAATCCGATCGAGCTGAGACCCTCAAAGGCACGTTGCCCAAAGGCACGTATAAGTTGCGCAAATTTCAGCGCACTTGGCGCAACGGTCGGGCCCGTACCCCGCGCTAAGTAACACCATGCCGGGACCTTGATAGCAGACAGAATCTACGTCACCACATCACCACGCCACAACAAACCCGGCCCATGGCAATACATGTCCCATATGAGCGCGTTAACCCTCGCCGGCACAGGCCATTCCGGCCATTTTGCGTCCTTCGACGGCACAAGAGGGGGGGGGGGATGGTACGACCCCTTCGTGTTTGGCCCATGATCGAGCTAGAGCTTCGCGGGAAATACGAGCGTGTTCCCCGTGACGAGAGGAAGCCGACGATACCCAATTTTAAGGTTCTTGGTCATTGGTTGACCTTCCAGGTCAGGTCAATGACTGAAAAATCGGGAAAATCGGGACCTGTTAGAACGTCGTTAATTGTGGCTGCTATAGGGTTTTTCGGGGTACTGATCATGAATAGTTATCATGTTAGTTTTGATCACAGATGATGTCTTTATGCATTTAAGCCAGGTCGGGTCAGGTCAGGTCAGGTCAACCAGTAGGGGTCCTGCCGGGTATTCGTAGTACCTACGTGCCAGCCGCCTCTGGCAGCTTCGTAACATGTTACGAAGGCACCAAAACTACTTCGTAAATGTTCAAATGGTTACTTAATTCGGATTCAGCTCCAAAAACTAGCCTGGAAACATGTATAATTCGAAAAAGTACCGGGTCATCATAGGTCAATGACCTGACCTGACCTTCAGGTGACCTTGACATCCACCCTAATGCATGGGAGCAGCATCAAATCACATGTTTGAATGCTTGAAACCACGAAAAGACTGCAAACGCGCGGCTAATGCGAGCCGGCATACGCCGAATCGCGATTCTGGCCAAACATGGTCTCGGAAAGTAGGTCACAGGTCAAAGGCCATTTGGGTCAGGGTCATAAAATTTCTAGGGTAGGTGTAAAACTGATCAACGCGAGGGTACTGAAAGTTTGGTCGCGATCGGCCGATTTTTACCCGAGTTATTCGCGAAAAACCTTAGGGGGGAGGAGGTTGCATCATCCCCTCCCCCTGTGCCGGCGAGGGTTAAAACTGCTTGTGAGCGAATTCACGTAATGAAGAAAAATAAAGCACAATCTACTACAGCAGCCAATATATGACTGAGTTAGGACAGGCACATGAGACTGCTTAAATCTTGTCCGACAGAAGCAGACAACAGTTCCGTTCGCATATATGCTATGCATATTGCGGAAGGGGCACATTTCGGCCTCGAAAGATACGAATTCATACGTCATAGTAACATATTTCTGTCATGGTCAATTCACGTGGAAATTGAACACCGGGTGATTACCGAGCTATTGTTCTATCAAAATTTTCCGATTCAAACTCGCTCAGGGTTATCATGCAGGTAAAGGGGGCCCGCTCAGCAGAATGCGTATGAAATATGGAAAGATTCTGAAAAATGGGTGGGGGGCCCGCACACTAGGGGGCCCGCTTTGGAGGCGATGACCCCCCCGAAACGAAATCCTGGCTGCGCCACTGTGTTCACGTGACCTTCCGCTGCTGCCCACAGCTCATCTTCAAGTGGTTTATCCGAGACGAGGTGGTGGTAGGTGACCACGGCAGGGAACTCAAACTCAGCTCCATCGGACGAGAACTCAACTCAGCCGCCGTCAAGTGTGACGTAACGAATGAGATCGGCACGGGCAGCCACTCGGTCGACTTAGACATTCGCTGTGAGTTTGGGCGCAAGTTATGTCATGAGTTAGATACAAGTTGTTCTGGAGTTGGTCCCTGTTGCATGAGTTCTGGACAACTTTTCCCTTCAGTTGGACAACTTGCTTTGCTAGATGAAGTCAACGCTTTATTTGCAACTTATGTTCAGATATCTTCCCCCAAACGCGACGTAAACATATACCATCAGAATATCTAATACACAAACTCGATACTTATCTAAACTACATAACCCATAATAATTTGGTATGTAACACGCTCTATTCACTGGGGCCCATACTTAAACCAAATACCTATACTTGCGAACCTGTATGAATATTCAGCAGCCGTGTTCATTGCAGCAGTGGTGAATTGTATAATGGTTTGCGATCACCGTAATGTTCCAACACTAATGGGTGTGTTGAGAGGCAGAGGAGGTGGCATCCATTTATAGCGGACGACCCGTTAGAAGGTGGGGCGGACTGGTGCTGGTCAGGTCGCCAGGTTAACTCATGATGATACGGAAGCTTGGGTATGGTGGTGAATTCTCAGTGGTCACTATAAGAGTGGGTCGCACATTCGCCTAAATGTCAACAGCGGACAGTGGATGAGTTTTCTCGACGAGATAATTCCTCGCTAATGTCAATCATCGGGTCTGTGAGATGAAGAACGCTCTAGCTGTTAAACCTATGGTATATTGGCCTTCCATTTCGAAAATGTATCGAAATTCTCAAGTTTGATTGCCATCTTACACCAAATTTTCAGCATACTTGTTTTTATCATGCTATAGTGTTTTTATCATACGTATGTTAATGGCACCGCGATTTTCATCATCATAGGCAATGGCCTGTTTACGCTGCCAACCTTTGAAGGCACGCGAACGCATACAGGTTTCCCGGACAACAGCGCCCGGTCCCGAGGCGGCGGTTGTCTGGCGTTTGATGTGTCCTTCCCAGCATCGACGTCTGGCCGACGCTCCTTATGAGTGGTCGGGCCGCTGCGAAATGACTGCTCGGATGACATAAACGCGACACGCCCGCCTGGCCATGACCAATATTTCAACAATTATTGCAAGGCGGCGGCGTTTAATGAAATTAACCAACACCAGGAGCTGTTAGTGCGCCGGAAATTAAAGTCTTGCCGGGCGCCCGGAGACCCGTTTGGTGGACCGGCGTAGCGGCTCCGCCGGTGCCATGTGTGCACTAGACTGACAGCAAACGGACGGACGGGCTGACCTGGCAGTCGGTAGCAGTGGTCATATTGACTTCAGCTTAAAGTTTTAACATAACATAACATAACATAACATGTATTCCATGTAACAGCAGGCCACTTGGGCCCAACGGTTGTAGGTTGCTTCCGAACATCATTTAAACTCCTATAATTATTATATTGTACGTATCATTCATGCATTTTGAGTAAACAATGTTTGTTGTAATTTTCCGAGAGTGATCATTTCAAAGATAAACCGTGTACCGTGCATATATACCCACTCCGAGTAGCTGTTTGTAATTAGCTCCAGCCTGTCTCCACTCCACCTATCCCTTCCTCCAGCAGAACTCCGTCCCCCGGGACCGGAGGCCCTCAGTCTGGCAGCGCCCTGCTCGCCGGTGGAATTTGGCGGCGTAATTTCTGGATTTGTCCCAGATTTGTACTGGAGCGAGACGGCTGCGGCGGCGGAGAGGCACCCAGTGTGGTTCCCGAGTCATCTACTGGCAGTAGCGCGGGGGCTCACTGTATGGCCTGATGGCCCCGTGCTATGCGACCAGCGCCGTGACGCGGACGCGTAACAAAGTCTGGGGTTTTAATTATGCGAGCATGACTGTGCCCGATGGTTTTATGAGTGTCATCAACTCCCGTGCCAAGGAATTGCTTGACTGGCCTTGCCCCAGCTCAATACATCTTTCTTAGGTGTTGTTTTTATCCGCTGGGACTGAGAGCGTGAGATGATGTTTTTCGTACTCCAGCGTAGATGGGTAGCCATACGACTTCCACGGTTGACAGTAATGACATCAGTCATCTTTTGCAAGCTCGTTAAAGATTTGGGCTGTACGAGGATCCGAGCCCCGGGCCTTTGGATTAGCGCTCCAATGCTCTACCTCTGAGCTATACAGACCAAGTACTTTAACGAGCTTTCTGCCAAGTTTTATGCGGATCATTCTTAGGTGTTGTTTTTATCCGCTGGGACTGAGAGCGTGAGATGATGTTTTTCGTACTCCAGCGTAGATGGGTAGCCATACGACTTCCACGGTTCCACGACTTCCAAAGGCCCGGGGTTCGAATCCTCGTACAGCCCAAATCTTTAACGAGCTTGCAAAAGATGACTGATGTCATTACTGTCAACCGTGGAAGTCGTATGGCTACCCATCTACGCTGGAGTACGAAAAACATCATCTCACTCAATACATCTTACATGTAATGGGTAACAGCCACACCTTATCTATCATCATCGGCCAACCAAGCGGTTTTACCATCCATGATGCGAACTGTCCTCCGTTTTCCACATGACTGAATTTCTGACAGTCGTAATGATGCCGATACCTACTACATATTGCTTATTTTATCTTCTGGAACCCGCAGCACGTTTATTTCTTAGTTCTACACTGTTCTCCGCTTTCCGCAAACGGAAGTGTGCTCCGCCCACCATGACTCCAGGTATCTTCTCCATGCTCTCAAGAAACCTCGCCTCCTCCCAGACCTCTGACGGACCCCTCCCCGTGCTGCACAGACGGCCCGCGGTTCCGGGAGGAGCCCAAAGATGCGTCCGCGGAGGTCGGTGAAAAGGTCACGGTCAAATGCGACGTCGACGCCAACCCCAGCCCGGAAATCGTCTGGTTCAAACGCGACTGCGAGGGGTGTCAAAAGGTGAGGTCAGCTTGGAATCGCATTTGATCGCCTGGATTAAAATTTTATTGGAAACGATTTGGTGACGGTTTTACTTAATCTTACTAACCCATTTCTGCAGTTGTATTTTGGTAGTAAATGAATATTGTATTTTTACTGTCTAGTTTGGTGGTGCGATTGGAATTATAATTTAAATGAATGGTTACCTAAAAATTAAGTGCCTTCCTAAGGTGATATACGAACGACATTGTGGTTTATTTGTGTGGGCCAGGACGTCATGGTCGGTTCATGCGAATATTTTAGACGTTCCAGCATACGTGTGCACGGTCGTCGCTAGCCAGATATCCTTAATTAATTGATTAGCGAGTGGTATCACTCGGAACATGTAATTAAGACGCAAGTAGCGAGTCGTGTATCATTATACGATGCTGACCTTCTAGGTCATCAGTACCCATCGCAGAGTGGCGAGCTTAATTTTAATTCCCATATGAATCCATATGATACAATATTACTTTGGATGGTGTACGAGTACTTTACCTATTGTTTTTTCTGTCACATGACTTTTAATTTGAGCGATTTTTGTAAATTTCGTCGCCATCTGGCTCGTGGTCCCGATAAATTGTTTCTAGACGGATCATGGTGTTTCCCCCATCGCTCACAACAAAGCCAGACAAGTTGGCCCCTCCATCAAGCGAAATGAGTTTGAAAACTTAGAGAGCATGATTACTGCTAACCACTCATGCGTCGACAGGCCTGGTCCAGCTAGAAAGGAACGTAGTTTACCTTCACCATGCCATCAACATGACAAATGCGGTTAAACCGGGTACAGCCATCACGTGTATGTCAGGGCCTCGGCTAAGGAATTTTGACTGGTGGGCCACTTGGGCAGCGACATGGACTGACCTTCGTAGCCATAGCCCCCCCCCCCCCAACTTTCGATTTCTCCCCAGATTTCGGCCACTTTATTCTGCAAAAAACGTCAGGATGGCATTCAAAAAATGTATAAAAAACGGGGCTCAACCCCCCCCCCCCCCCGACTCTTCAGAGAGAGAGAGAGAGAGAGAGAGAGGAGAGAGTAGGGACCCGCAACCCTCTCAGTGGTGATACTCCCGCGGTGCACATAAAATCGCACAAGCACGGAATATATAGTCTACGACATATCGTAGTACATATCGACATATCAACATGTCGTAGACTATATATTCCGTGGCACAAGTATGCACACAATATTGACGCAGATTATAAAACGTTGGACGATAACTTACGGCCGTGAGTGGATCGCTCGCCGACTAGTCGGAGATTCAGAAGCGGTTGGACGGGATCGGGCGTTGTTGGGTGGATCGGGAGGAATTGTGAACAGCACGAGTGCAACTTTATATATAAAGTGGGTTGTAGCAGGAACCCCAAAAGGGGGTTGTAGCAGCAACCCCAACATCTCTGAAAATGATCATTAAGCCTATTGGTGTCGCATGGAAAATAATTGACTCAAAAGCCCAAGCGCACTGCGCAACCCTGATATTTTCTTAAAAAAAAAAAACTAAGTTATGTACACGTTCACTTCTGGTGAACAGTGTCAAAAACTTCAGATTTCTCTTGGGTGTCTGAGTGGAAAATTCGAGCCGCCAAAATGTGAGAGTGGAAAACTATCCATTCTTATTCTTGAGTGTCATCTTCAGCCCAAATGAGAAATTTTTGGAACGCTGACTGTGAACGGTTCGAAATTCGTCCAACTGGTCAGATGTGTGACTGCAAGCATCATACCGGTCGTAAAGACGCATAATATCGCTTGCAGACTTCAATCGGCTGGAAGTCGCCGACACTACCTCTAGTTTGACTCTGGCTTATATCGTGTCTATCGGCGAGCCGTCTGAGATCGCTCGCAGGCTTATCCCCGACCGTCTGAACTGGTCGGTTCTTTATTCGTAGTTTTTCTTGTAACCGATTGGTCTGCGGCAGATGCCTATGTGACTGCAACCACTCGATCGATCGGAAAGCTTGCAAAAACTCTCGCAGACCTCGATCGGCTGGAAGCCGCCGACACTATCTGTAATTGACAGAGGCAGACGTCTTTCGCGATTATTGCATAAAATTTAAAGCCTCGGTCACACTTCACCGGATTGGACCAACGGACGAGAAACGGACGAGAACTGTCAGCGTCCGGTGATGTCCGTTTGTTTCCGTTGGACGTCCGTTTGTCATCCGTTAATATCCGTTCCATGTCCGATGGTGTCCGGTTGAGCACACCGGACACCACCGGACATGGAACGGATATGAACGGATGAGAAACGGACGTCCAACGGAAACGAACGGACATCCCCCGGACATCACCGGACGCCGTCCGTTTCTCGTCCATTGGTCCAATCCGGTGAAGTGTGACCGAGGCTTAGTCCACTTAGTCCACTATAGTTCACTTTTTACCCCAAGAGGATATTGCAAACAATAGGTTGAATTTTTTCACAAGAATATGTTTCACCGATGGGTACTTTACAGCCTGAAAGTGTACGATAAGATCTGCTAATTCAATTTGAAATGTGAAAAATGTGGAAACTTTGATTTTTCGGAAAATTACTGGTGGGCCAAATCTTTGAGGCTGGTGGGCCATTTCGGGTCACTGGTGGGCCACTTGGCCCACCAGTTAACATGTTAGCCGAGGCCCTGGTGTATGTCACTCATCTCACCAAAACGTTATTTCATTTCTGAGTCATACTTACTGCTCTAACCATTTTAGTCTAAGGACAGATCTCCTCATTGACTGGTTATATAACCATATTTTATAAAGCAATCAAATACGCATTGTTCGTACTGCATGTGCGGGTCGCCGTATCCATGCGGAACAGCACTGCGATGTTACTTGCTACCAACGCAAATTAATGGGCTGTGTCAGCAGTGCACTTGCATTGCTTCGTGCATGAGGGTAAGAATGAATGCAGGCGCATATCGCGGGATTCATACGAGTAACGTTACCCATAAGTGGGGGAGCGCAGTTTCGTGCCATGCGGAACAGCATAGCTGCAGGCGCCCGACATTAGCGACATCTATGAGCGGGAGTGGAGACATAAGAGGTGCCATGCGGAACAGCATAGCTGCAGGTACCCGATACTAGCGACATCTATGAGGGAATGGTGACACGGTTCTGAGTCTTTCGGAACAGTGGGGCTGTGTGTGCAGTGTTCGACACTGACCGACAAGTTCTTATGGGAATATGGATGCGTCATAGAAGCGGTTATTCCTTTCCCACACCTTCACCAACCCCGTCTAAGCATTAAGCCGTCTTTCGGTGTAGTTAGCAGGATCTGCCGGCTGCCGCTGTCTCATTGGCCTAGAAGCTTGATGGATGGCCTTGGCTAGCGCTGAGCACTTTGCTGGCTACAAACCAACTTAATTCGCCATCATTTTGGTACAGCACCACCGGCTGCCAGAGACGACCGAAACTGATGTGACGGATATGAGGTGATGAGACGTATGAGGTGATGCTATGAGTGCCCTATAATGGACGCCTGTCTACGATATTTTGGCTGCTGGTGTTCTTTAGTGATTCATTGCGAAGCGCCTGTAGGTGGTTCAGAATAACTGTTAGAGTTTTCAGCTTTCGTTCCGCTGGAGCTGCGTTTACAGCAAATTGAAAATTTTGTCCGGCGAGCAGCCGTCTGCAGTAACGACCACAACTGAACTCGGTAACTTCATTCGTTACCATTAGCTGCGTCGGCCGACTGTTGCGTTCGTGAGTGGCCGCGCAGAGACGGCTCTTGTTTTCCTCGGCTCGGCATTTCTGCGAGCCTTTCGACCGTTCGACATTGACCACCTCGCTGGGGCTAGGTACGGGAGCCCATTTAAAGTTGGTATCGCCCGCTGGCCCGGCGTCCGCCGCCCACCAAGCACCACCGGTGAAAAAACCCACGCCACAACCTCCAATTACACAGCCGGAAGCTAACTTGGCCGTCAAGGGGATGGCGCGTTTTTGTGGGGCAGAGAAGAAAGAAGCGAGATCAACAGCGCGTGCTGGGGAAGCCGAAAATGATACCGAGAGGCGTGATTGCATTGACAGATAAAAACAACAGTAGATTTGGCAGGGTGGATTTGTCTGATGGGCCGATAGAACGACTATTTTGGAATATTTCTCAGGGCTTGTGTTGGGGTTTTTATAACCAAGCTCGATTACGAAAGTTTATTGTGTGATTGCTAGTATCTTTCCTATACAAAATTCAAAACAGAACAGCTGATTATGCGTCTTGCAATCAGGATCGACGATTTGGAGGTCAGAGACATCATCGTCGCTACCAGAATTACGACGTACGCCCGCCACCGTGGCGAGGCTATAAGGTAACATTGTCAAACTTGATTTCTGCACTTCATTGGACCGAGATCTTGCGACCTCTCTGGGCTTTACAGAATGTGCTTTGGTGCCGATTATTTGATAACGCACGTATTCAAACTTTATGCTGATGTGATAAGTCTGTTTTCAAACGGAACCACCGGTTACATGTGCTGCTTCAGTAAGGGCTGCTCCCAATTTAAGCTTTGTTGCGTCCAGTTTTGGCTTTGTTGCGTCCAGTTTTGGCTTTGAAATGCCACGCACTTTCACCAACACTACTGTGTGTTATGTTTGCTTCAAGCAACACCTTACATTGTCTTGCACCGAGGCTGCAATCCTCAGCGCAAATCACTGCATTCACACTTTTGATTATTTCTTTCCCGGGAAGTGGCATTATAAATATCACGCTCACTTAGGGTGATCGCGTGACCTTCTAAGCGCCGGCCAATCCCAGTCGCCTGCCCTTCCGGTCAGCCTATGTGTCGATGGGTCAGTGGTGTCGGTCAGACCTTTCCTTCTACCGCCCTCGCCGCCGACACGGCTGAGTAATAGGGAGAAATACGAGCGGCCCGACAGGCGATGTAGACAGTGTCGATATCCGGCGAATGCTCTCTTGACTCCCCTGGCGCGGTGTTGCTGTTGTTTGTGCGGGCGGTGGCGGTGGTGGTGGTGGTGGTGGTGGTGATGATCGTAGAGTGATAGTTGTGACGCTGTTTTTGGTGCTATTGTTAGTGTTAGTTACCGCATTAGTTAGTTAGTTACCGCATTTGATGGCGAGTGCATGGCGTTAGAAAGTATGGTATTGATAGCTGTGGCGCTTCAATAATGATAACCTTTTGGACAAGGAGAAGTAAAACAGAGCAAAAACCTTGGGAGGCATTTTGAACAGTCTCTTGCTTACGATAGGTATATTCCTTTGTGACACATCAACAACTTCTCAGTTGCTGACACTTGACAATGAAACGTGCTGGACGGCTCAGTGTATGTACAGTGTACACACTCAGCATCAAAGCGAAGCCGGTGTTGACGAAACTACCCTGCAGCTTGCATCCTTTGAAGAAAAGCTACAAGTTCGCCGAAATGATGCGATGGAGCTAAACGAAAAGCGGTTCTTTTGATCCTGGCTTGCACTAGTGTTTGTGCTGCCAATTGGTTTCAAAACATTGCACTGCCGCCGGCACAGGTCCCCCCCCCTCTCTCTCTCTCTCTCTCTCTCTCTCTCTCTCTCTCTCTCTCTCTCTCTCTCTCTCATTTCTAATGCCACCTTTACAGAGCTGCCGCGGCGGTATATTGCTGTTCATTTGGGTCTCCTCGTATGAAGGCGACGACTATGGTACTTTACCGGTACATTACAGCACTGTACATATGTGATTACAGCTGTACAGATGTAAAGCTTCTCCAATCAATTTTCAGCCCTGGAAATTCCCTATCGGACACCAGTATGTACGGGGACCCGCAGTTGCTACTGTGCACGAACCCCAAGTCTAACCGTCTGTCCTGTCCAGTAACAACCGATAACATTGATATCGACTGCTGGTCCCTGTACAAGAGCAGCTGAGGTTTCCTGTGAGTACCCTCTGACAGCTTATCGTTGTTCCCTGTGAGGGTGCTGGGACAATTTACTCAGGGTCGCTGTACAGTAGCAACTGCGGGTCCCTGTACCACTCAAAACTAAAAGGCACTGTAGTTGGAATCTTGTCCGCAGTGATTTGTAGTTATTTCAGATAGCATTTTAAGAATATCTTTGCTCTCGATCATTTTGTTCTGAGGGGATCAAACCGCAATGCACTTTGTCATGCCACAAGACCAACGCCCTCGCCTGACGAAGAAACAACTCAGCTTAACCCACGTGGACTGTGACCTTTTCATGTTGTGGCATTCTGTACTGACCCAGCTCTCTTCCGCAGGTGGTCGGTCTAGGCTCGGAGCTGGAAATCACTGTGACGCTGAACTCCGTTGGGCGATATGAGTGCCGCGCGGCCACCACCGGCTTCCCCGAGATCTCTCGCCAGCTGATGGTGTTTGCTCGGGGTCGACCGGAGGTCAGCGCCCGGTCACCGCAGCGCGGCGTCGCCGGAGGCACGGTGACGGTCGAGTGTGTGGTTACCAGCGTCCCGGCGCCCTCTGCCACCGTCTGGTATCTCTACGGACGGCCCATCCGCACAGGTGAGATTCAGCACCTCACGCAGGAATGTGTATGTGCACTGTTCATGTGCACAATGTGTGCAGTTCATAGGGCGATCATAACACGCGAGTTCACGGTTTGACCTAAAAAGGCGAGCGCTGCAGGCAGTGTATCGTGTAGCGGCTCACTTGAAACTGCGCTTAGTGTGGCCAGCCAGAAGCGTATTCAGTTACAAATATGAAACGGAAGAACATATTCACTTTCAGAATGTGAAATGGAAACCCGTAGCTATTTGCACCGAACACCGACTAGTGCAGGGCTTTGGGATGTGTGCTATGTTCCACAAAACCTACATCCCTACATTTTCGCTAAGCCTGACTGAACTTCAGAGCTTTGACGGTATTGGTATCAATCAGACCTACATGCATGAGAACTTACGATGGCTAGGGCCCGAGTTTTCTTTTGTTATTATTAATTTCACCTTAGCACATTGCGCTATTGAAACTGGTGCATAATTTTGTACAGATATGCGCTATGCTAACGCCATCGATCTCCATTTTTTTTTTCTTATACAAACATGGAGCCCCACATCTGTAAAAACCGGCAACCCTCTTCTACCGTGGGTCCGCGTTTCAGTCCTCATTCCCTGCCCCGGTCGCGTCTCGGCTTGGTGGCCAGCCTGGTCTCCCACTGCATGGGCGCGAAGCATGATCAATCTTGCGGCGGGGATTTGCCGGCGGCAATGTCGGTGATTGGAGCACAGCACACAATGCAGGCAGCGGGCGGCGCGCTGCGAGCTTAGCGTTGAAATTCGGCCAGCCACGCCGGCGAGATCGAGAGGGGTTAGCTGGGTAGGGGGGGGGGAGAAGTGAAAGAGAGCGGTTTGGAACGAGAGGAGCAGTGTTCATAAAGACGTCAGATGACCGGCGGGAGAGAGACGTGTGTGAGCTGAACAAAGCGAGCTGGTTCGAACAGGGCTGATTCCATACGCGTCGGCGGGCGGCCGCGTGGGCACCATTAGTGGATTGGTTGGCTCGACGGAACGGACGGGCGGTCGACCGCGGCGGGCAGGAGAGTGAAGGGTGGCCGGCCGGTGGCGTAGGCAGGAGCCGGGTCAGAAATGGCACCGGGATCAGGGATCGCCGAGAGGGAATAAGTGTCACGGATTGCAGTAAGGGGATAAGGGCCATAGGTCATAGTCTGTGAGCCGTGACACGATGAAAGGGCGCGGTTGAAAGTCATGAGAACTTTGAGATGGAGTGATGTTTGACCTGACTTAACTCCTTCGTTGACCATTTATTTATTTCAGTAGCAAAATTATTGATTTGCGATTATGCTACGAGCACAGATGGTATAATCATACAAGTTGTCAACTTGATTTTTAAAGACATGTGGGCATTTTTTAGTTGTATTACATGTCAACGCTCCTTTATTGTACTTTCCATGACGGAATGTCATGGCAATTTAAGCTAGGTTATGGAAATTAGCCATTTCGAAAAAGGGCAATGTTAGCGAACATTTTCCTTAACCCGCGCCCTGGTGGGGGGGGGGCTATTTTTTGCCCCCCCCCCCCTCCAGACTTTTCAATATATCTCCAGAACCGCTGCGCCGATCGTCACCAAACTTTCAGTACCCTCCCGGACATCAATTTTACACATTGTGACCAAAAATTTTTCCAAAAGCTATGATAGGTTGGCCGAAAATGACGTCAGAGTGACGTCATGTTCTGCCGTTTTCGACCCAAAAAAGGGTTTCGCGGGAAGAGCTGTCAGGCCTATAGCTTTGCAAATACAGAAAAATGTTTAGGACATAAAAGCTGTAGAATTGACAGGGCTACAAAACTGCTATCTCGGATTTTTGAATTTTTTTGATTTTGACCCCCAAAAATCAAAAAATAGATTTTTGGGATATAATAGTCAAAAAATCCAAAAAGTTTTTTGAATTTCGCAAAAACCGGAATATATGTGATAGTCCTTACCGCCTTTCATCCACATACCAAATTTTAGATTGATACCTCTTTTTTTGGCGAAGTTATAGCGAAAAAACTGTTCAAAATTGATGACGTCAAATTTTCAAACTCAATTTTTAGCAATTCTAGACCTCGTAGTGCAAAACAAAGACCACCATTAGACTCCCCGTGACGAGCTGCATCGAATCGATACCCATTTTATGCAAAAATATCAACTTTGAAATTTGACCTTTTTTGACCTGACCTTGACCTGACCTCCACCAGAAAGTGACCTAAACCGTACCTGATGGTCTTATAACCAACACCATTGGGTTGGAAATGAAAAACTGGCCATAAAACATGCATCGCACAACCTTAGTAAAGTTGGGTTCATGTGGTGACCCTTGGTGACCTTTGGTGACCTGACCTGTGACCTGACCTGGTATGACCAGTGACCTCTAATAGCAACATATGTACTAGACAACTGACGTCTTATCGCTGATTTTCGACAAAATGCGTTTTACTCGGTGTTATAGCGCTTTCCCTAGAAGCCCCGTGAACGGTGAAACATTTTATCTTTGACCTGACCTGTGACGTCATCGGTGACCCCGAGGTCCATAAAATTTGGTTTCCTTCGACAAATTTGACAGGGCTATCGAACGCCGTTTGAATTTTGCGGATCCGTCCAGTAGTTTCGGAGATATGAGGGGGGGGGGGCAAAAAATAGCCCCCCCCCCCACCAGGTCGCGTTATAAACAGACCCCACCAGGGCGCGGGTTAATTTGGCCTGTAGCGACTAGCGTTGCAAACAATTCAGTTTCACAATCTGCGCCGTCGGCTGTAATTGATCCCAGCTTAGCGACAGGCCGCTACATATTGTAGGCCTAATAACCGAGTGGCTGCCAGCCCAGCTGGCTGGCTCTGACATTGCGCCCTCTTTGAAAGGCCGGACAGTCGGCGGCCCGGTCCGTTTTACTGGGAATCTGGCCTGAGTGAGCGCATGGTGCATTTGATGTTGAGTTGGTGATGAACGGTCAGTAGTGACGTGTCGACGGAGCCCGCCGCTACAGACGGACTCAACGGCAGACGGCTCATTCCGTGCCCAGTATGAACCGGACCTAATGCAGCGCTGAGGCGTGTGCTGTCGCCCAGAGATTCATATGAAGGCCGCTTTAGGAAAAAGGTGGCTGTGACGAGATGGAATCTGGGCTTTAAATGGTCACACTGGATTTAAATGGTCCATTTAAAGCCCAGATGGAATCTGGGCTTTAAATGGTCACACTGGACTTTTTGCTTTATTGACATTTGCCGTTATTAGCTACGCACATTGACTATTACAATCTACCCACAAGCTGCTGCATCTAAAAACTTTCTAAACTTTCGTGTTCTTTTAACACTTGTGACGAGCACGCTTATTTCAGATAGCCCTTCGCTTCAGTCATGAACTGTGAAAGCTTGTGTCAAGCAAAGCTGCTGTATTTTTTTCATTTAAAATGGTTCGCCAAAGATACAGCGTAGTAAAGGTCAGTTAATTTTCAGTGACTTTAGTTGTCAGTCCACCGCAGCAAGAACTCTGTGGCATGCAGCATGTCTGTCCTGTGCACGTGCTGTGTGGATATTTGACTCATTCCCCCTTATTTCTCTCGTAAAGGCTGCATAGTGCATAACACAGCCTACAAAATATATTTGCCCTTATCTATCCCTGCTCTCTTCCACTGCTCGCTTCTCTAGATTGTGCTGTGTGAATATGTGGCACATCTGTCCTTTAACCTTCTCGAAATCCATAGCACAGCCTATAAAACGATTTTTTTTTTTGTTATTTACCCTGCTCTTTTTTCCACAGACTCGGACCGCTACAAGACGGTGGACGAGCCGATAGAGGGTGGCGTGCGCAGTCTCCTGGTCATCTCCGGAGCCAGCGAGTCCGACTTTGGCCTCTACAACTGCACCTTCCACAATGAGTACGGTGCAGACTCTGCCACCGTGCTGCTGCAGAAACAAGGTCTGTGTGTGAGATGGGAGACTGGGTGGCTGGGTGGGGGTGTTGGAGAGTACTGTTTCTTATACTGGAATCAATTATCTAAATCGGAGCTCGGTATCGATGACGGAGACTGGTGTTCCTCTGTGATGCTGAAGAAGTGATATGATCCAATGGTTCTGGTTTGATGGTTTATTTAGGAATATGCTAATTATTTTTACATCTGTAATTTGGTTGCCAAAAAGGTGCATTCATGTTCATTTAGAAGTTGAGGAAGTTGAGAAGGGTGCACCGATCACGGCGTATTTGCTTTTTCTTGATCAGAGGACAGAAACTGCATTGTGCCTTTTCTGTTGCGCACACTGAGAGGGATAAATCTTCCTCAATCCCGACCGAACCGGCACGGTGGAAACCAATCGCAATTAGCAGCCGACAGTGCAGCGCACACTGCGCTATGTTCATTAGCAAATGTGGCCACCGTCCGTCCGCGTGTCGGGCCGTGTCCGTACAGATGCGGTGCGTTCGCTAACCATCCCGAACCGTCTCACCATCCGGCCATCATTCAGGTCACACGTCTGGAGAAATGATCGCACTGCCGCTCGCTGCGGTGGATTTATGACCAATGGTGGCTCTCCGCCGTGCGACAGGCCTCCCTTCTATTGAGGTGGCTGCGAGTCGTTGCGACAAATTACCGCTCAGTCATTCCAGCGGCGAACAGGCATCGGGGCAGCACGCGTCCGACCGCACACTTTACTTCCATTTGATCTCACTTGATTGTCCCATGGGAGTGCCACTACCGCCATCACCGCCGCCGCCGCCGCTGCGAAACCAATACAGGAACAGAGAAAGGGACACAGCCGCGACGCGTTTTCGCATTCCGCTCATTGAAAGCTCTGTGGATGGCGGGTGTCTGGCGGCGGCCTACTACCTCTGTCAGCTTTATTGCGCCGGAAAGCCCCTCAGTATGCGATGGGAGTTGTCGGCCGGCGTTACGACGCAGTTGCGGTCCGACACTGAGTCGTATTAGGGCCCGATCCAGATTACCGACATTTGTTATCACATACAGAGAAAGCCGGGTGTGTCGCAGACCGGGCTGGGTTTTAATTTTCGCCGACATGACCGACGAAGGAGACATTTGTGGTCGTTTAATTGGTCTGGACGAAGACGTTACGGCAAAGGCTGGACTCTCGGAAAACGGGCTGGCTTGCTGAGGACATGAAGGAGAGGTTTCGCGACTGATGACTGTCGATGTCTAAGAAAAAAGAAAATTGTTTGAGCGAGGATATAGAAAGTAGAAACACGGGAAAAGCATTCGGCACAATGTAGAGGTGGATATTTTCTTCATTGGGCTGCCATTTCAGTGGAATGCACTTACGAGATATGATATATTTATGAAGCTTCTTACACCGAATTGAAGTGGCTTGTAAATATAACAGACAATCGTTGGATGAATATAACTACATTACAGGGTTCAGTTATAATGTGGGTAACTTTGCATTTTGAGGGCTGTGAAGGTACTGAACTCTGCAAGCCAGGTGAAGCATAAACAAACTAATATAAACAAATGATATACATAACAAATTCCATAAACAAACTAAAGAAAATATTGTTTTACATGTTGCCTCCAACCATGAACTACACTGCTAACGTTGCCATCTCCTTCCTTCTGCAGAGAGCGTCCCGCTGCTGATCGTGCTGTCCGGAGTGGTGGGCGGCATCATTGTCATCATCTCGGCTATACTGCTGCTGGTCATGTGCCGCCGTCACCGCCAGCCCGGCGGCAGGGCGCCAGGTGAGCTTACGGCAGGTGAGGTTAGGTCAGGTGAGGTCAGAGCGTCAGGTCAGGTGAGGTTGGGTCAGCCGGGCTTAGGTGCCAAGTGAGGTCATCCAGGCCTGATACCTAGGCCAGGTTACTATGTCAGGTCAGGTCAGCTGGCGCGAACCAGTGGGCTACTTAAGTTCAAGCACGCTTATTTTTCTAAAAGCTTCCTTTCCTGCGTTAATAATTCTGGCTGACTTATTAACTCTGAAGACATCTGAACCATTCATGACTTAATTTGCTATTATCTTCCATCATCCAACACCCAACGACTTATCTGAACAAGAATAGTATTCAGCTGTGAGCGAAATGACAATAGCCAGCACAGCGCCCTGCCCATACCCACCCATTTACGTAGCACGTTCACGTTCGCGGTTCGTGACCTCTCTGGCGTGACGTCTGCCCTGACACCTAGCTGGCCAGCCCCAGAATCGGCCTGTCACAAGTTGTACCGCAACTCGTGTCTCGGCTCGTCCAGCATGCATACTGCAGCAGACCGCTCTGAATTACGACGGGACAAATTTGGCGCGGGGGTGCTGCTCACGAGGCCAGTGTGGCGCAGCAAGTCAGGTCCGAGGCAGACGTGACGCGCGCGCGGCTAGTCTGACGCGGTCAGCTTGACGCGGGCCAGCTGGGAATCGTGAGGAGTAAAGGGCAACACCGTGTGGCGTGTTTTAACTATTCATGCCATGGGCTCCTTCCGCGAAACGGAAGGCGATAACTTGGTGAGATGAGCGGCATTTATCAACTAAGTGAGAGCAATGGGGAATGTAGGTGGCAGTATTGCTGAAAGCAATGTGCAGGGCTATTCAAAATCAAATTAGGGCAGGTCAAGTTTCTGTTAGTTTGCTATTTAATATTTTCACCGAACCTCGCAATCTTTTGAGAGACGCGGTATTTGGCTGTGCCAGTTAGTTTTGCTGTCGGGGAACCCATCGGCTATCACCTCAGCGGGCGGAACGGAGATCTAGCCACGTCTTTTGTCTAACCCATGACCTCTGGTAACTCCAGCGAACGGTGTTGTGACCTTACTATGTCTCACCTATGACCTCTGTGACCTGATACAGCCACACTCTCTAACCCGTGACCTCTGTGTGACACAGCGGACGGCAGTGAGAAGACCTCCGGCCGGCCGTCGGACCAGAGCTCTGCCGACACAGACCTGAAGATGGAGCTGCGCAGCACCTCATCCCTCTCGGGTCAGACTGCGTCCGAGCGCTGGGATGATGAGCTCTCCTCGTACCGCTACCCGGACGATATGACGGACGCGTCGTTCCCACCGGTACGGCAGGTGAGAGGGGGGCACAGAGAGTGAGAGAGAGAGAGAGAGAGAGAGAGAGAGAGAGAGAGAGAGAGAGAGAGAGAGAGAGAGAGAGAGAGAGAGAGAGAGAGAGAGAGAGAGAGAGAGAGAGGCACGGGGCGAGAGGGTGGTACGGAGCGAGAAGGAGAATGGAGTGTGAGTGAGGCACGGAGTGTGAGGGATATGAAAACACGGAGTGGGAGGGAGGTACAGAGAGATACACGGGTGAAAGAAAAATATGGAGGCAGGGAGACATACAGTGAGAGTGAGCTACAAATGCGGCGTAAAAACTTACATGAATGGAACGGGCAGTACCGGAACGAGTACTATGAATGCGAACTATATTCGAATGACGGGGCGGTCAGCACTGCCTCAGCAGGTTAGGATTATGTGCAAGTATATAACTGCAAAATCTGCTGGTTAACTTACTGTGCATTGCATTATATCTATCTTGAAATTCTCAACCGTAAAACCTTCGCAATCGTACAAGCTGGCGAAGCGCAATAGCAAGCAATGCGGTGCAGCATGACTTCAGGCGTTACAACTAGTGCCACCTATCGGCGGGGCTATAAGCTCCCGCTAAAGCATTGCGGTACAGCATAACTTCAGGCGTTACAGCTGGTGCCACCTACCGGCGGGACTATAAGCTTGCGCTAAAGCATTGCGGTACAGCGGAACTTCAGGCGCTACAACTAGTACCACCTATCGGCGGGACTATAAGCTTGTGCGAAAGCATTGCGACTCAGCATAATTTCAGGGCGTTATTATACCTTCTATGTTTAGGCAGCGAATCGCTGGCGTTGAAAAGCATGTTTTAGTGCTGCTCGGTGCAGCATTTTTATTCTAGAGCTTCACCGCACCTGCAATTTCGCGATTGGATGCAATAAAAGCTCGTGCCGCGCTGGCAGCGGTAAAAAAGGAGCCGCTGCGGCGATCGGTGGCCGCCGCCGCGTTTCTCTGTGCCGCTGACGATGCCCTGGTCCCGCGGGCATTCCCGTTGTTTTGGTTCGACCGTCAACACACTTATTGGCTTTTATAGTGACAGCGCCACTCATCGCCAGCGCGGCCAAAGTGGCGCAGCAGAGGCGAGCTCGGCGCGGCGCCGATCGGCCAAGAGCTGCCGTCAAATTCTGGGCACGTGGCGATTTCATTATTGCCGGAGGCGGCAGCGGCGCTCTGTTGCCGAATGGCGCAGAAGCGACAACTCCGACGCGGCCGACTGGCAAATTAGGCAAACAGTGGCGACAAACCGCCAGTTTGGATGGAAATGGGACGGCGGCCGGCACCGATTGATGAAGACGGACGGCCGCCTTCGCCGGAGCGGCGGACGCCCGATTTGGCCAAATATCCGAACGCAGCCAGAGTGTTCAAGTTTTCCCTCTCAGTCACGAGCGGAACTTATAACTCGCTTCTTTTGTGAAGCGCTCTCCAGTTCAGTTTTTGTCAACTTCAGTGTCCGTTCTTTGTTTCGGATGCTTCGAAAGTTATGAAATAAAGCGCAGCACACTTCTGGTAGAAATGGAGTCCAGCTGTCACGTTATAGTGTCAGTTGCATCGAGTCATTAGTTGTCTAATCTAGTAAGTCAGTACAAGACGTAAGACAAGAAAAAGTCAGTTTGTTGTACCTACCTCATTCTGGCACCTTTAGACCGGTGTCACAAGTCGCTCTCATGTCTCTATGGTCTGGTGAAGGCCATGCAGTCCAAGATGACTACTACTAATGCAGTCGCTCGTTTGTTGGCGGGTGCGGCGTACGTTGTAGGGCCGGGCTAAAGCTCGGATGCATATCAAATTCATTGGGCAGTATTACAGCCGTCTGTTAATTGACATGAGATTAAAACGCTCGTCACTTAACAATTCACATATCATCATGCATTTTGTGCGTAGATAGTGGCTAGTGCGTCTTTACCTTGGCACGCACAGACGGACCCAAGTCCTGTTATAAGCCTGTTGTTTTTATCTGACTCTTCGTTTTTCTTTCCATCGGCAGGCACAAAATAACGCTGGCTATATCTCGTACCCAAATTACGAGCGCGACTACGCGCCGTCGCCCGTACCGGCTTCGTACGCCGACCCTCGTCTGTCGGCTCGCTACGGAAACCCGTACCTACGGGCCAACAGTCTGACGAATCTGCCACCCCCGGCCGGGTACGGAGCGCGCCGCGCCGCCGCTACCACCGCTACCCAGCATATCACCGCCGCTGGCCAGCCTCCGCCGGGTCGTCTGGCTACACACGTCTGACTAGCACGGGATGACGTGTGATGAGCCGTGACGTGACACTGGTACGTGACGTGACGCTGGCTTGTGATGTGATGATGAGGGTCGTGACAATTTGTGAGGCGAGGAAACAGGAGTGAAGAGTGAGGGAGCGCTGTCAGGTGACAGTGTAAGACAGCTGACAGATGCGCCGGACAGTGGCAGCTGATGGTGACGCCTGGCAGTCAGTGTGACAGATGCCGGGCTGTCCGCTGGCAGCAAGACAGCTCGAGTTATTTATTAGCTGTTTGGATGCCCGCGTTCTGTCAGACAAGTGGTCTGATATCCTAGTTTGGGCTACTGCGTGTTTAGAGCCAAGACACTCGATTGAAAACGCATGAAAATGTCTTCCCATGTGTCATTCATCATTCATGACTATTGAAGTGCGTACATAAGTAGTGCTTAGGGAGTACGTATTTGAACGTATGTACATACTCACACTTTGCCGTTATTGTCAGTTGCCACGTGATTTCTGGCAAACGCCAAGCTGCCAAATACCCACGTGACTTTGTTGGCAAGTGCCGACGGATTTTTAGCATGTTTTCTTAACTTTGTCATCTAGTCACGAGCCATCTCAATTTCAAGTGCCTTGGATCCCGCTTGCCGTTTCGCTGCCTCCCCGACTGTGCGACCGACGGGTGTTGCCGCCAGCAGAGCCGTTTTAGTTGTGTTTTCGCTGTGATGTCGGAGCGTCGCTTTATTTCACCTGCCTATTGAGAAGAGAGCATTTATTTGTACATTTCCAGGTCAGTAGTAGCATAAGCCCCGCCAAAGAGGTCTCGTGTGCGTGCGCTGTTGTATGGCTGAGAGTGTGCTGAGGGCGTTACGAGAATATGTTTGTGATGCCCCTTAACGCCCGTTTTATATGCGTCGAATAAAGACTTTACACCATTATTCCTTTATCGATTCAACAATGTGTTATCTTCGATGTCCTGAAAAACCTCGACCAGAGGCCAGTTTTACCAACAGAAAGATAGCCGCCTGCCGGCATTTTTTGCCTTAAGACCGCTTCACATACGGTAACAGTAAAGGTAAACAGTAAAAGGTAAAGCCCTATCCGCTTACGTGCCCAGCGCGTTTACGCTCCGTATGTGAAGCGGTCTTTAGGCAAAAAATTCCGACAGGCGGCTATTTTTCTGTTGGTAAAACTGGCCTCAGTATCGACAAATGTGCTAAATCACATGGACCTACTCAATGCGAACCAGTGGTCACTGAAGAGTGAATGTGCAAGGAAATGCAGTTACTGATATCTTACCACTCAGTATCGAGCGGACGTAAAAGCAAATATTTGCTGTGTGCGACACGTCCGAATCTTTTTGATTCCTGAAACATCGAAGTTCCTGGCTCAAAAGAGACTGAAGTCAGACCTCAGTGCCTTTGCCAAATGATATGCAGGTGTCGTATCAAGGCTCAAACTATGCACAAAAGTATACGTAGTTCCACTCAATGTGTATTTCATAACAAAACAGTGTGAGCAGATCCCCTGAGCTACCTACCGTTTTCGGTGATTTTCGGCAAACTGTCGGTACACCAGGTCATAGTCCGTGACCCGGGGCTGCACTGTGCGCAGCGCCACCTGGAAGTCTTCCAGCTCCACGGTGTCGGCCTCTACGTCCCTCTCGAGCGCCAGCAGCGCCGCCTCGTGACAGACAGCGGAAACCTCGGCGCCCGAGTAGCCTTCCGTCCTCTCCGACAGCCACTGGGGTGTCACGGCGGCCGCCACTGGCATCCCGGCCAGACGAATGCGGCCGATCTCGGCACGTGTCTCGGCGTCCGGCAGCGGCACGTGGACCACGTGATCGAGCCGGCCGGGCCGCAGCAGCGCCGGGTCGATCAGATCGGGCCGGTTAGTGGCCGCCACGACGGTGACGTCACGCAGCGCGCTGACGCCGTCAATCTCAGTCAGCAGCTGCGCCAGCACGCGCTCAGCCACACTGCTGGCGCCCGAGTCACCGCGCCGCACCGCCAGAGCGTCCAGCTCGTCAAAGAAGACGACGGCGGGCGCCGACTGACGCGCGCGGCGGAACACCTCCCGCACGGCGCGCTCCGACTCCCCCACCCACTTGCTGAAGAGCTCCGGGCCCTTGATGGAGATGAAGTTGAGACCGCTCTCGGTGGCGAGCGCCTTGGCGATCATGGTTTTGGAGCAGCCCGGCGGCCCGTACATGAGCACGCCTTTCGGCGGTGTGACGCCCATCCGTTTGAACGCCTCTGGGTGGTTGATGGGCCAATCAACAGCCTGTTTCAGTCTCAGTTTGAGCGCCTCCTGGCCTCCAATATCCTTCCACCTAACGTCAGCCACCTCCACGAGCACCTCTCGCATGGCGCTGGGTTTGACACGGCGCAGAGCTGCCATCAGATCGGCCAGCGTCGGCTCGTGTTCGCTCCTCTCCGTGGCTAGAAGGCGGGCCTCACTGACCACCGCACGCAGATCGGCGCCTACATAACCGTGCGCGGCGGCGGCGACGGCGGCCAGCTGGTCGGCCGGCCGGCCGGGCAGCAGGGCGGTGAGGATCTCTGTCCTGTCCGCCGGTCGGGGCACCGTCAGCTCCAGCTCACGGTCCAGGCGGCCGGCGCGGCGCACGGCCGGGTCCAGAGAGCCCGGCGCGGCGGTGGCGGCCACCACGGCCAGCCCGGCGGCATCGTCCAGTAGCGAGAGGAGACAAGTGAGCAGCCGGCGCTGACGCTCCGAGCCGGTGTCCGACCGACCCGCCACCGCCTCCACATTGTCAATGAACAGCACGGCCGGGCGGAGGCGGCGCGCCGCCTCGAAACTGTTCCTCAGGTTCTCCTCGGTACCGCCCTGGTACTTGCTCGCCAGCTGGGCGCCGCGGATCAGATGGAACCTGGAGCCATACTCCGCCGCCAGTACCGTCGCCAGAGCGCTCTTCCCCGTGCCAGACGGCCCCCAGAGAAGAACACCACGAGGCAGCTCGAGCGCCGGCCGAGCGTCGTCGGGCCGCCACTCCTTCAGCACCTGATCGATCATTGAGCGCAGGTATTTGAGCGTGTCCGTCAACCCTCCCAGTCGCGGTGGCGGGGGTGGCGGCGGGGCCGGCTCCGAGGAGAGAGATACGACTAGCTCAGTCTCCTCCGCCACCTCTACCAGTCGGTCGTCAAGGTTCGCACGTCTCTCGGAGTTCCGAGGTGATTGAACCACAGCCGGTGCGTCCCCACCGCCAGCTGGGAGCTCCGAGCCGGACACGGCCAACCGCGCCAGTCGGCACGCCAGTTCGTCTTCCGCTCCGGCCTCGGTTACCTCGGTGACTGTGAGTGTCAGGGGCGTGCCCATGAAGGAGGTGACGTAGCGGTCGCCGACGCCGAACACCAGGCCACGCGTCTCGGCCGCCAACTGCTCCCGGAAGCGGTCGGTGCCGGCGAACGGCAGCGCCCGGTCGGGGGCGAGTTGGAGTCGAGCGGCCGGCAGCAGCGCTCCGGTCACCGGGCGCAGCGCGGGCGGCTCGTCCAGCGGTGTCAGCCGGGCGGCCGTCGGCTCCGGCACTGCCACAGCCGCCGGCGGGCTGTCGGTGCCGGCCGGCAGCGGCCACAGGCGGCAGACGGCGCGGCGCCGGCCGCACACTACCTGAACCCGGTCCCCAGCGCGCAGGCCCAGCGCGCTCGCCGCTGGCGCCGGTACCAGACAGAGCGCGCGCGCCCAGCCGGGCGGCCAGGCCTGCTGTGGCGCTGGCTGCAGCCAGCCACTAGCCAACAGCCGTCCGGCGCGCACGCAGCCGCGCGGAGGAGGCGACAGGCAGCACTGACCGTCGGACGCCGGTTCTGGCAGCCAGGTGTCACACTGGCCGCAGTGGTGCCACTGAGCAGACGACGGGCGGACAGACTTCTGCGGCGTGCTGCCGCCGCGAGACAAGCGAGCAGGTTTCTTCTTACTGGACATGGCCTGCAAGGGAGGAGTCAGTCAACACGAGGCAAGGACAGCGCGATATCGGAGGGGCCACAGAGGGTTGACGTCAACGGCTGGTCATATAACCGAAACAATGGTTTATTGTCATTGTCCTGCTCTGGGCTATAGTACGGCCAGATCGTTTAAACACCCAGCAAGAAGGCAGCTAACAGAACGAATCTTTGATCTGTTGTGACTCATTCAAAATACAAGCTCCGCAAGGTCAGCTCATTGTGTGCTTGGTAACAGCGCAAGGCGTGTACAAATTACAACAGTGTAAGTAAGAGTCTTTCAATAGTCTTTTTTCCTACACTCCAGTGAAAGTGGTCAGCAGGACTGGTAAGCGTGTCGAGTTAAATGGGCTAATGTGCTGGTTACCACCCAAAAGATAATGATGCATTGGTTTTAGGGGCCCCGCAAAGCACTGGCCATCGAACGAGACCAGGAAGGCCAGGAACGAGACCAAACGGAAAAAGTTAATGCGTTTGGCACTAACTATTTACGGATGACGAAGGACCAAAACGATGTGCCTAAAATTAAATCAGTGCAGTTAGAGAGACGCTAACTCTCAAACAATTCAATGCCCCGACCGTTGAGTAATTATATTGCAAGCATTTAAAAACATCGACAGCAGAGCGCGTGGCAATGGTAGCCTTAGACAAGTACAGCAAACAAAAGAAGCATCTAACCAGAAAAGGCTCGAAACGGGACACAGCGATCGGTCCCAAAACTGCTTGACCAGCATCTCAACACCAGCTACAAGCACAGTGATGTGGCGAACGGCGTAGCAAAGCCCACGGCATGCGTTTCTAACATGTTCATGGTGGTAGTTTCCAAGAACAAAATATGCCACATTGCGCTAACCACTCAGAGACCAGGATATCGGTCATTGCACCTTGTTAGGTCGCGTTCCAGTTGACAGTCTTCACATGAACTTTCGATCATTAAACACTGTCACATGGCGTAACGAGCGGAGTATCGTTTGGAAAGCTAAAGAGCGATAGTGTATTCTAGCGCAGCAAAGGGCCTTGAACAGCATTCACGAGTAATCTCTTTCCGTTCAATCGACGCTTCTGTGACTAGGGATCCAACAGAAGCCACATCAAATCTTGACTGTCTTGTCCAAAGATCAATGAAATCCAGGTTTGTGAGCATCGAAGTCAGGGTAAAAATGCATTTGCGTTCGGAATGGGCTCCAAAGTACTGAACAGGCACAGACAATTGAGCCGGTACCACCATCATCACGGTTCCTGTCCGATTCACAACGGCTTGGCCGAGTTCCGACATCATACTGCGGGACTTCCTGGTCACATCTGTAACTCCGACAAAGTGAATGGTGGGAGCCCACTTAAAGCTGTGCCTGATCTTGACAGCAGTGGTGTCGTTCATTAGCGGCTGATCGGACCAGTCGAGTCGATAGTCGCGCCATACCAGTCGAAACCAGGATGTCAGTTTGCACACCGCATCACCATCATCTAGATCAAAATCTAGAAACACGTCTGATATGCTGACCGTCACGTTCACCACGTCATCCGGCATCCGCGCCGGTCGGCTAGCGCTCCAATTATTGGCGATGAACTTCCGCACCCGGTCCTCACTCTCGTCGCCTGGCGTTGGTTTGGCCCAGCCGAGGCGAGCCGTGGCCAGGCAGCAGTAGACCAGCAGACAGACCGGCAGCATGACGGTGATCCGGCGGCAGTGGAGGCCCACGTGGCGGCGGCAGCGAGGGAATAGTGAGTCCCCCGGCGGCGTCCGACGTATAACACTGACTCACACCGGCCGGAGCGGACTTTATATGGCAGACAGGAGGGGCGGTCCTGCAGCACGCCTGGGGCAGCGGGTAGCGACGAATACAAACGACCAGAGCAGCACGGACGGAAACAAACACTCAGGGTGTTTATTTCCACTTGCTCATCCAACAAGTCCAACCAATGGCCGTTTGTCTAAAGCGAAACTGGGGAATCCCCTGAGGTTCATGCAAATAAACAGTCGTTGGGGGAGGGTGCGGTTAGCTGATTTTGGTAGCGCTCAATCGCTTGGAGGATTGTTTATCGTGAAGTCAGGCCACCACCCATGACGTCATAATAAGTGAAGTACTGCCTAAGGTGATTCGGACATATAAACGACAAATGCCAGTAGATAACGCTTCTTCAGAACACAAAATGCATGTGCATCAAGAAATGTTCAGGGATAGTTACTTTACACTAAAATACTAAATAAAAGTTTTGTCACAAACATAGAAAACACGCTTTTAAGTAGTCACTTAAAGGGACCCTCCCAACTTAACATTAGTTTTGAGTTGAGATAGCCAAGTTTGCGGCCAGGCTCAGAAACCACCATTTATCCTGGTCGCAACCCCCGCAGCTTTATGGTGTTCAAGAAATTTCTTCCCTTTACTTGCAGGGTGGGACCAGCGTGGTCCCTATCTCTTAACCATTACGGGAATCTGATGACGTCATCAGGCTTTCGAACGTCCGTTAAACCTCGCACCGACGGGGGGGGCGGATATCCACCCCCCCTGAGGTTTTTCGCGAATAGCGGGAAAACCGCGGCGCGTAGCGCCGCGAAATTTGGTATGACTATAACCTCATCAATTTTACACAAGGTGTGCAAGTTTGAACCTCCTACCTTTTAAGGTCAGGTCACCAGGTCACTTTGAATGACCCAACCTCAAGTCACTTTTTTGCAACTTTGTCACCGTGCCAGAGCTACAGTAGATGTCGGAGGACTTTGAAAGTCGCAGGATATTATTAGGTCATTAGTAGCTACAATTTGTATATCTCGGAATTTTTATATCGGTGACCTAAGGTCAGGTCAATTTCGCGACCTCCCCATTATAAGTCAATGGGGGAAAAATCAACTCCCTGTTTTTACCACTAAAACGGGTCGGATTGGCCCCATATACCATACATGACTTCATATACGATCAACCTTCACTACCTTGAGGTCGGTTTTGCTGTTGGGCAGCTGTGAGGTCATGTGACGTCATCAAAGGTCACCAAAGGTTTTTGGCCAATAACTCCGTACAGGAACAAGATACAGACGCGTGGATGATCTCATTGTGTTCAGCTCGTCAAGACGCATCGAATGATATACATGATGACCTCGAGGTCACGTGACCTTAGGTCAACCTTTGACCTTGACCTTTCGAGGTCAACATATATATATCATTCGATGCGGATTGACGAGAGGATCACGATGGTGCCCTTAGTTTGTTCCTATCTTGACTAATTCGAAAGTTATTCGAGAAAAACTCTCCATATCTAGCGCCGCCATTTTGACTTTTTCGACCCCTGTGACGTCATCTTTGACCTGACCTGAAAATGACCTTAGTAAAAATTATAGATCTTGGCCGTGCGTATCCGATGCCGTTTACCGCTTGTCGCTATCTTGCTTCGTTCTCGAGATCTCAGGGGGGGCGGTCATCCGCCCCCCCCCCGTCGGTGCGAAGTTGGCGCAGTCCCCCGTCGGTGCGCGGGTTAAATGTTTGACTAAAGGCGGCCGCACACTAGGCCATTCGGCGGGCGACATTCCGCAAAAACGCAATTCCGTGGCGACATTACGCTTTCGTGGACGCCGAATCAGCTGCCGAAACGACAAAATTATCAGCCGACCGCTGCCAGCTAGCTGTCCGCGGGTAGAGTGCGCATGCGCGCGAACAGCCGCGGAGTTGCGGAAAAAGCTGGACCGGTTCAGCTTTTTCCGCGGCGACGCCGCGGACACCCGAAATTGTGGAACTTGAAACTCACCAACTATTGATGGAGTAGCCGAGAAATAGACTTCACTTGATAAAAAATCGTAGCGGCACTTCTTTCCCCATATTAAATGGCTTTTATACACTTCATTGGTTATTCCAATAATGGGTTACTATGTGCCTCTCCACAATTGTCTTTAGGATTCTTGCATTTGTCGACAAACACGGTTGTTTACATTATTCACGAGCTTTATTTTTTTGCAACTTCCTCCAGAAATTATGTCAAATTAATAGATATTCAAAACTGTATTGTACAGAAATATAGCATAATCGCATTAAATAAGCAAATATTGTATTTGCTTAAATGTATTTAGTTTGCATTCGTTTATATTTATCATACAATGTTTCACATAAAGTTCCTGAAAATACTAAGTAGAAAATCGCACCGCCGAATGGTCCTGTAAACTGCTGAAAACAAGCGGAAAGCCGCTGTAGGAATGTCGCCCGCGACATTCCGCTTTTGCGGAATCTCGCCCGCCGAATGGCCCAGTGTGCGGCCGCCTTAACCCGCGCCCCGTAGGGGGGGGGCCGAAACGCCCCCCCCCCTGTCCTTTTCGGTCGATATCTCCTAAACGGCTGGAGATATCGCCACCAAACTTTCAGGACCCCTCCGGGCATCAATTTTACACATTGTGACCAAAAATTTTTCCAGAGGCTGTGATAGGTTGGCCACAAATGACGTCAGAGTGACGTCATGTTCTGTCATTTTCGACCGAAAAAAGACTTTCGCGAGAAGACCTGTCAGGCCTACAGCTTTGAAGATACAGAAAAATGATCAAGACATAAAAGGTGTAGAATTGACAGGGCTACAGAACTGCTATCTCGGATTTTTGAAATTTTTGAGTTTTGATCCCCAAAAATCAAAAAAGCATATTTTTGGATATATTAGCCAAAAAATCCAAAAAGTTTTTTGAGTTTCGAAAAAACCGGAATATATGTGATAGTGCTTCCCGTCTTCTACCTACATACCAAATTTCAGATCGATATCTCGTTTTTTGGCCAAGTTATAGCGAAAAAAACTGTTCAAAAATGATGACGTCAAATTTTCAAATTCAATTTTTGGCAATTCTAGAACTGGTAGAGCAAAACGAAGACCACCATTAGACTCCCCGTGACGAGCTGCATCGAATGGATACCCATTTTATGCAAAAATATCAACTTTGAAATTTGACCTAATTTGACCTGACCTTGACCTGACCTTCACCAAAACGTGACCTAGGCTGGCCCCAAAGGCTGCCTAACCCACATAATCGCATTTGTCATGTAAAATGGACCATAAAACATGTATCACACGACACATTCATATTGTGACCCCCGGTGACCTGACCTCGCTGTGACCTGACCTGGTATCAGTGACCTCAGATAGCAAAGTATTTGTTTGACGAACAATATACCATCGATGGTTTTCAATAAATTACCAATTTACTCGATTTCACTGCACATTTCTTGAATTGCCTGTGAACGGTGAAAATCTGACCTTTGACCTGACCTGTGACGTCATCGGTTTGACCTAGGTCAATGAAATTTGGTCACAAGGTAGTTCCCGGGTAGGGCTATCAAACGCCGTTTGAATTTTGAAAATCGGCCGGTAACTTTCCGAGATCTTAGGGGGGGCCGAAACGGCCCCCCCTCTACGGGTGGTAGGGTCCGCCGGTAGCCCTACGGGGCGCGGGTTAAAACGTTTTGTAGCACGCGGTGGTAGGTATATGCTGCTTTGCGCGCAACAAATGCCGCACTTTCAAATAAAGTCGCTAGGAACAGCGGAGATCCCAAAAAGTAAACAAAAGTAAAAGTCTAATATCTTGAAAACCGGTGAATATTTTTCGATGATATTTGGTAGATATTCGTTTTTGCTCTTTCTGAACCGAGCGACATCACTTTCATGCCAATTCATTAACTTCTTTGAAGGTGGGAGGGTCCCTTTAACCCGCGCCCTGGTGGGGTCTTTTTATAACGCGACCTGGGGGGGGGGGCTATTTTTTGCCCCCCCCCCCCATATCTCCGAAACTGCTAGACGGATCCGCAAAATTCAAACGGCGTTCGAAAGGCCTGTCAAATTTGTCATGGAAACCAAATTTCATTTACCTCGGGGTCACCGATGACGTCACAGGTCAGGTCAAAGATGAAATGTTTCACCGTTCACGGGTCTTCTAGGGAGTGCGCTATAACACCGAGGAAAACGCATTTTGTCGAGAATCAGCGATAGGACGTCAGTTGCCTAGCACATATGTTGCTATTAAAGGTCACTGAAAATACCAGGTCAGGTCACAGGTCAGGTCACCAAGGGTCAGCACATGAACCCAACTTTACTAAGGTTGTGCGATGCATGTTTTATGGCCAATTTTTCATTTCCAACTCAATGGTATTGGTTATAAGACCATCAGGTACGGCTTAGGTCACTTTCTGGTGAAGGTCAGGTCAAAAAAGGTCAAAAAAGGTCAAATTTTAAAGTTGATAGTTTTGCATAAAATGGGTATTGATTCGATGCAGCTCGCCACGGGGAATCTAATGGTGGTCTTTGTATTGCGCTACGGGGTCTAGAATTGCTAGCCATTGAGTTTGAAAATTTGACGTAATCAATTTTGAACAGTTTTTTCGCTATAACTTGGCCAAAAAGAGGTATTGATCTCAAATTTGGTATGTGGATAGAACGCGCTAAGGCCTATCACAGATATTCCTTTTTTTTTAAATTAAAAAACTTTTTTGGATTTTTCGGCTATTTATTTAAAAAATATACTTTTTGATTTTGGGGGTCAAAATCCAAAAAATTCAAAAATCCGAGATAGCAGTTTTGTAGCGCTGTCAATTCTACAGCTTTTATGTCTTGTACATTTTTCTGTATTTGCAAAGCTATAGGCCTGACAGCTCTTCCCGCGAAACCCTTTTTTGGGTCAAAAACGGCAGAACATGACGTAACTCTGACGTCATTTCTGGCCAACCTATCATAGCCTTTGGAAAAAATTTTTGGTCACAATGTGTAAAATTGATGTCCGGGAGGGTACTGAAAGTTTGGTGATGATCGGCGCAGCGGTCCTGGAGATATATCGAAAAGTCTGGAGGGGGAGGGGGCAAAAAATAGCCCCCCCACCCCACCAGGGCGCGGGTTGATAAACTGATGACATGACAATGTCAGGTTTTTACCTCGAGGCAAGCTCCGCCATATTCAATGATATGGACACAGACGATGTTTCACTTTTGGTAATAATCAAAACAATGTAGATCCTCAAAATATGACACTGATAATAGCAATCAACGCCTACGCCACAATGCACTGGCAAGAAACACAACACAGACATTCAAATAGGCCATCCCAGCCCGGTCACCTCCTCCTCGGTCACTCACCCTGAGTGTATCCGATCACACCTGGCCGCCCTTCTTGTCGCGCTGTCCTCGCTTGGCGCGGATCCTCTTCACGAACCGGACCTCGGCCCGGTTACCTATACCAAGCTTCTCCAGTCGGGCGTTATCGTCCTTCAGCCGCCGGCCGCCGAACGAGAGCCAGTTGGCGCGCCACACGTACCGCCAGCTGATGGCCCGCCGCCGGCCGCCGCGGCGCGCCAGCTCGAGCTCGACGGCGCTGCGCAGCGCCATCTTCAGGTCGCGCACGGTGGCGGTGCGCTGCACGATGACCCGCGTCAGCCGCTGGCCGCGGTTCACCAGCACCCCCATGGCCGTGCCGCGCTCCAGAGCGGTCAGTGAGCGCAGCTCGGCGGGCGTCAGTACGGCCGGCAGGTCGTTCAGCAACGGGTCCTCGGCCAGTAGCCCGGTCAGCGTGTCCCGGAACACGGTGCCCAGCTCCACGTGCGTCAGCTGGTCCTCCGATTCCGGGTCGGGCGCTCCGCCGCCGCCGTCCGGTGATCGCTCCGATTTGACGGTGACACCAGCCGGTAGCTCCGGAGACTGTTCTGGCGGCGCGTCCGTTCGCTCCTCTGCTACCGCACTGTGCTGTGGCGGCAGCAGACGAGACTCAGTCACTGACACATGGTCCGAGTCACTGGCTGGGACCAATGAGTGGAGCTGGACGGCCGCAGTCGCTTCCCGGTCAGTTCTCTGCCCATCCGCCGCGCGGGATCCGTCAGCCACTGATTGAGCGGTGTCATCGGGCGGCACTGTGCCTCCCGACACATCACACTTAGCACGTCTTCCCGCCTCTTCACCACATGCTTCCATGACAGCTCCCCTTACTGGCTTTCAGCAGAACACTCAGGATCTTCTGTAGCTGAGTGGACCGAGGCAGAATGTGGTCTGCTACTCCCAGGTCACATAACAATGCCTGTCAATCCTCGGTTGCAGGAGTGGTCTTGAGCTGCACTGCTGCTCTCTCATGCAGTGCAAGCTGATGCCCTCTGCTGCATGGAAGGAGATGATGGGCAACAATCAGAGACGGAGAGGAGTACTCTTTGTTTTCATGAAGCAGCTTACTGGTTCAGACATTCCAGTCATCATGGAGTAATTGTCTTGTAGAATATCTATGAGCTTCACAATAAGGTGTTGTGGAAATGCATGACATGAAGTGAAAATAATGGTACATATAATGTTAAGAGGATCACTTTCAGAATTCATAGGGTAACACGGGACAAGACGCCCAGTCGGGTAAGACGCCCACCACCCTTTATTTGAGAAAATACCAAAACAATCCATAGTTCGTCGTTCCTTTGGAGCCTAAGTGCTGTGGGGCATGAAGCAAAATTTGAGGTGTGTCAGGCTTCTCTGGGAGAAGTGGCTGACAGAAGTAGCCTTTCCTTTCCTTATTTTGATTGCTGTAGTTTGATGAGTGAATAATTTGTAGAAAGCAACAACCACACATTTTAAATCGAGAATTTTAAAACATTCAGCTATTAGTAATTCAAGTACCTGCGTCATAATTGCTAGTTGCTACTCACATTTTTTATATTCCTCATCTTTCCAACATGTGTGTCAGGGTAAAACGCCCACCAGTTGCAAGGGGTTAGATGCCCTATCTCTCTTACATGCCATCTTTTGTGTAAGTGCAGTTTCTGTATTAGGAGATTCTAAACATGTGTAAGGCCTGCCTGAAGGACTTATCTTTGAGAAAAAGTTACAAGTTGGTGCTAAAACCTGTTATTTTGAGCATCAACGTTTGCATTTTGTAACAGGATATCCTCATTGGGCTTAACATAGGGCATATTACACCAGCAGCTTGGGCCTCTTACCCTGTAGGCCAGCCATATACCAGGTAAGATGACTTTTTGCAGCCCCTTTTTAAATTGCAAAAACCAACTTATCCTCATCAAGAACACTGAGTGAGTTATTGCATACATTCAAGATTTTTTTTTATTTTTTTATAAATTTAGTCCGAACCTTTTGATGGGAAGGATTCACAAGGACAGAGCCACCACTAAGCGAAGCTTGTTGCGATGACCCTGCCCTCTACCCTCCGATCGCGCAATTCCGATTCTATGGCAGAATTTAGAGTCCAAAGTTTAACGTGCGCACAAAGCCGCGCACGGCCGGTCCCCTCGCTGACTTCACCTGGCTGCGGCCTGCCACCAACCGCAGCCATACCTGTCAGGAGGCCCATAAATGTCGAGCGCCCGTCGCGCTTCGAACCCGGACTGTCATAACCGGGAACGCGTGCTCCCACCACGCGGAGTCCAACGCTCTAACCAACTGAGCTACGGGACCGGCTTTGGTTGGAAAGTAAGATAAAGGATCAGTTAATTGAATAGCATGATAAATTCATTTATATTAAAAAAACTAATGAGAAACATGCATTTTCCCTTAAGGTGGCTGCCTTGCCCCATATTACCTACTGTGTCCCTATGAATCTTTAAAACATAATGCATCATGAAAAAGATAACACCTTTGGTTGGAAAGTATTTCTAAACCTTGGGTAAATGGTACTGTCATATACATTTAATAGATTGCCCTCACTCTCTCCCAAATACCCACACAATCATGGAATGAATAAGGGGCCTATTCCTTTAGGAATACCTACCTAGGAACTTAATCCATGGATGAAGTATTCCTGGATAGGATACTTTCTATTCCCCAACACTAGCGTCAGTGACCAAGCGGCCGCCCTGGTGGCGGAGCACTGAAACATCGGTGGCGAGTGCACTGGCGGCCGCCACATTGGCGTGCGTGCAAAAAACGTGGTAATGGAGAGTGAAATTCGCGAGCTTTAGCTCATAAGACATGATTTCGGATTCAGACACTTCAAACATATTTTCAGTCCTTTTTTAATAATTATGGCTCCATTCAGTCACTATCACATACAGAACCATTACCTTATGCCCATAAACTGAGGCGATATTCTTGACTTGCCGATGCAAATTATCACGAAATATGATCGTTCCTCGGCCGTTTAACAAGTCTCTATTGATAACTTAATATAACTTACTTTCATGTTATCCCATAAAACATCACCTTATATTCTAACATTGGCTCTTTGGCTGTAATCACCAACGTTCACTTGTGAGCGAAATTTAAGCAACTTCTTAAATTAATACTGAGAAGATAATACTTTCAAGACATTCCTCAATTCCTGTTCTACCATGTTCACAAAACTTTTCATCAAATTCTTACAGGTAGGTAAGCAATAAACGATAAAAGTATACAAAAAGATGCGCTCCGCCCATAGCACACAATGCTAAAATGGAGCAAACGCCCTCGCCGTCAGAAAATCCGCCGCCGCTGTCAGGTGGTCGAAAATCAGCGGAGTGTCCTATCCAGGAATACCTAATCCATGCCTAATCCATGATCATTCTACACACCAAGGCCCAATCCTACCATTCACCAAATGCTGTAAATGTGCATTCACAGCATTTGATACCTAACATTTCTAACTATTTGGTACCAATTTATTCATTCGTTCATGGCAGGCAGCATTCACAATCATTAGGGCTATCAAATCCATTGGATAATAAAATTAGCAAGATGTAAATAAAAAGGATATTTTTGATCAGTGCCGTCAACTCTCAGTGCTACTAAATACTTTAACGAACGGTACCTATCAAGGCCATATATAGACCTATATAGGTAAAATAGGTAACGTATATATAGGTAACGAACGGTAACTATATAGAGAACTCTTTCACGGCAATGGTAAGATTGGGCCAATGGGCCCTGGACGGCCTTGCCCTGGACGTGCCCTGGACTGAGACAAGCTGAAGCCCGTATTGCATATAACACCCAGATAACTTACTCAATCTAAGGATTATGCCTTCGACATCATCTTTCAGCCAACTTTCAGCACACACGTGGTAACGGAAAATAATAATTATCTCGAGCAAATCCTCGAGTGAAGGGCAATCAATGATCAATCAATACCACTTAGCAAATCTCCTTTATCATTCTATGACGTTATTCATAAAAATTGCAAACTTGATCCTCCAGCGAAAACATAAATCTTTGTATTTGTTTTTAGCTTACTTTGAATGAACTATTTTGACACAAAATAACCCTATTTTGCATTTCATTGCATTCTCCAACCTTTGTTTCAGGTCACTTTGCTTAATTTCTTCTCAACTTTTTCAAAACTAATGACGTCATATATCATCAAAAGGCAAATGAGAAAATAACAATCGCGTCAGTATTGACAATCTTGCGCCATTTATGACTACAAAGTGAATTGAACGGAAAAGGAACATACAGTTACCGATAGATGGCAGCAATAAATTCCGATAGGTGGCAGCAGTTTGTCCTTTGTCGCATATGTGGCCGTACTACGATTGCCTCCTCAATGAGCTCAGGTTGAGGTCGAGGGTGCACGAGGGAGGGGGAGGGACGTGTGCCCGGTGCCTGGGCCTTCCCACACGAACCGTGCTTCTCAGGGCATACCTTGGCTTCTATGGGCCTTCGCGACGGCCTCTGAGTAGTGAGGGCCCTCAGAGAACCCTACGCAGACCTTTGAGGCCTCAGCCCTCAGGCCAGCAATGCAACAAGCTCCTGGGGTTCATCGCCGTGTCTTGAGCCTTACGCCGGCTCCTCGATACGCCATGTCTGCACCTGGACCTCTCACCGGCCTCTAAGGGCCTCCCTCAAGTTGACCTCATGTGGGCCCCCGAGGCGATTTTTGATGCCTTACCTACATATTGACCTCTGACAGGGGTGGACAAACGTGCCGAGTTGGGGTAGCAAGAGTCTTCCCAATTCCACGCCGGCTGCGCCGGCTTGGCTTTGGAGCCGCACCATGACCAGACAGCGGAGGTCAAGGTCACCGCCAGGGCGGCGGCGGATTTGCTGCGCCCGTGCAACCCCAACTCGGCATATTTCTCCACCCCTGACCTCTGATGATCACGACGGCCTCTGAGTAGGCAGTCTTGCGACTCTGAGGCACCTATAGGTAGGTATGTATGAAGGCCATGCCTCGCCCCATGGTCTTTGGGCCTGTACACAGGGGCGCAGCCAAAGGGGGGGGGGCACACTGGGCTTTAGCCCCTCCTAAATCTAGCAGGCGCCCTCATCTAGGGCGCCGAATGCGCCCTGGATGGCGCCTTCCACGATCATTTCGGGGCCGGGGCGCCTTTCTAATGTCCAGCACTCTAGGCGCCCTCGACGGCAAGCCATTGCGGTACACCATGCGGGCGGCACTGGCTCAAAATCGGGTACTAGTCACTGCGTCTCGTAACGGCGCACACGCTCGTTTTTTTTTCAGAGACGCTTTAGTTCCATCAGGGGTGAAACGGCGAGGGAGTCGTAAGTACCCTTCTCCTCCCCCCCCCCCCCCGCCCTCGGTCGGCACATATCTAGAAAACCAATACCTAGGTCCGGCGAGGGTTAACCCAGTCTCAGGTTGCTGACTCCATTGATTGTCGCCCCTTCATCGTTCGCCTGCTTCAATCAGTCGTACTGCGTATTGGTGACTATGTGAGGAATGGCTCGACAACGCAAGTGTGTCCGTTAATCATGACAGATGTCAGCTCCGCCCCAGGGCATATTTTAAGACACTTACTGCGTCCCATTTTGGGACGCAGCCCCCTCGCCTTGAGACGTAGCCCCTGCTGATTTGAACCACTGCGTCCCTGCCCTGTCCGGTTCCCTGACCTGTGCCCTGCCGTCTGCCCTGACCTGTACCCGGCCTTCCCTCAAAATGTCCTGTGCCATGTCTTGCAACCTGCCGTGCCCTACTTTCTGCCCTCCTCAGTGCCCTACTATGTTCCTTGCCCTGTGCCCTTAGTCGTAGCACGTGCCCTCTGCTCAACTTTGGGACGCAGTAGAAATTTGTTAAAATATGCCCTGCTCCGCCCTCGAGTCGGGTGAGCACACTTGTACTTACCAATTCCCGTATAATGTACAGGTCTCGCTGGTTTTAGCGGTAGGTTTTGCACCTAGAAAAATTAGTGTACTTCAGGCTATGTCTTCGTCGTCTTAGCCCGCGCCCTGCTGGGGGTCCTGGATTTCCACGCCCTGCTGGGGGGGGGGGTGTTTGAACACCCCCCCCTTGTAACTCGGCTCCTGGGCCACGTAGCGATACGCGGAAGGCGGCGTTCGAAAGAG